CCCAAGATCCCAAGAGAGGAATAGGGGAGAAGGGATTGTGGCATGGCCATCCCCTCTGGGAGGTGATTTCTTGCTTTCTGTCGCTCTGTCTCTCTCTGTCTTTCTGGTGCGTGTGCGTGTCCTATGGAAAAAACCTATTGAAAAAAAAAAAATAAAACATCTGCCTTTTTAAAACATAGGCCATCATTTTTATTCATTTATTTTAATTATTTAAAATAATCATCTGAAAAGTAAGCTCCGTGAAGGCTAGAAATGTAGAATTCATGTCTTAATCCAAAGATTTATTATTATGTACAATACACATATTTTGGTGATCACTGAGGAAGTCAAGGCAAGTGATGCTCAAACAAATAGAATCTCATAATTTAATGAGCAATTTTCAAATTAGGGGATTTAGAAAAGAAAATAATTATCCAAAGGGCACTGTGGTGTAAAAAAATATTCAAAAGGGGCCAGCAGGTGGTATGGTGGGTGGTTAAGGCACTAGACTCCCACATGGCCTACTATGGTTCACGTCCTGGACCCAACTACTTGAAACATGACGAGTGGGAGTGTATGCATGCCCCAAATCCCAGGAGAATGGAGAAGGGATTGTGGCATGGCCACTCCCTTTGAGGGGCTGATTTCTCACCTTCCCTCTCATTGTCTCTGTCTCTCTAGTAAATGCACGTGTCCTATGGCAAAAACCTAAAGGAAAAAACATTCAATAAGCTTAATATATTTATTATTTATTTTTTTAACTTGCATAAAGCAATTCTCAAAATCTCGGCTTCGAAGAATAAACAGAAAAAAATAAAGTACATACTGTATTAATTATAAAACTATATGTGTGGCATTTCAATAATATAATAAACAATGCAATTTAGACTGATGTTATCAGTTTACCATAACATTTAACCATTAAAAAGGTAAACCGCCTGGCAGCCATCAGAGCAATAACTGATTTAGACAAGAATTATCACTGGGTACTAAAACTAGTGGATGAAGATTGGAAGGGATAGGATATATACACCATCATCCCACAAGTTATTACTTTCAAAGGGAAAAATAGAATGTTACACGGAAGAAAATGCTCTGTATTACTACATGCAAATCGGTTTCTACATTTTATGTTAAGTGGTACAGTATTAATTTTTTCTTTTCTTTTTTTTTTTTTTGAGAGGTTTTTGCTATAGGGCGTGTATGCTCGCCAGACAGACAGAGACAGAGAGAGAGACAGAAAGCGAGAAATCACCCCCCAGGGGGGATGGCCACGCCGCAATCCCTTGTCCTCCGTTCTCCTCTCGGGATCTTGGGCACACACGTGCACATGCCCGGCGTGAGTTTTAAGCCACCAGGTCCAGGACGCAAACCATGATCGACTACATGGGAGTCCAGCGACATAGCCATTACGCTAACTGCTGGTCCCACAGTATTAATTCTTAAAGTGAACTGTGAAAGCATTTATTTTGTCAAAATAGGTAAAAAAAGAAAGACTTATATGTTTTCAGGCATTTTAAATAGAAACACAAGAGTTAAAAGTAAATTGATAGAAGGGATAGCAGGTGCCATGGTGGTTAAAGCACTAGATTCCCACATAGCCAACTGCAGTTTGAGTCCTGGACCTGGAAGCTTGCTTTCTCACTTTCACTATCTCTCTGGTGAACACACATGCTCTATAGTATATTAAATAATAATAATAAAACCTGTGTGGGGTCTAGCGGGTGGCATGGTGGTTGAAGGTGCTGGACTCCCACATGGCTGACCACAGTTCAAGTCCTGGACCTGGCAGCCTGCTTTCTTGCTTCCCATCTCTCTTTCACTCTCTCTCACTGTTCCTCTCTGGTCAAATAAAAATAAGTAAAGAGAACAAATAAAGTTAAATAAAACAATTCTTAAAAAACAAACAACAAAAAAAACCTGTGTATGTGTGAGTGCTCAAAGTTCCAACGGGATGAAGAATGGAGAAGGGATTGTGGCATAACCATATCCCACTGAGGAGGTGTTTTCCCTCTCTCTATGGTTAGTGCCTGACACCTCCAGCAAAAAACCCCCAAAAATTCTCAAGAAAAGTATTACCCAATATAAAAGAAATACGTTCCTTTTTTCAGTCTTTTAGGTTTTTGCCATAGGGTGCATGTGTTTGCCAGAGAGAGTCAGAGGAAGGGAAACTGAGAAATCCCCCCCCCCCCAGAGGGGATGGCCACATTGCAATCTCTTCTCTCAGGATTTTGGGCATGTATGCACACACACCCTCCATGATTTTCAAGGAACCAGGTCCAGGACTTGAATCTTGATCAATTACATGGGACTCCACCTTAACTCCCACACAACTTGCTTGCCCCAAGAAACACAATGCTTAATCAGTAGATGTAACACCAATAACAAAGCTTTGACTCTTTTTACTGGAGCACAGCCATGACCATTTATATATTGTTTATGTCTGTTTTTAATGCTATAATTGCAGGATTGAATCATTGTGATGGAGACTCAATGTACCACAAAGCATAAACTATTCACTATCTGATCCTTCACAAAAAATGTTTGCTAACACCTAAAAAGGAATTAAGTCACATACAGGACACTTGTCTGGTCCAATTATATGTATGTCAATAGTGAAGTTGTAGATAACAGTTCATAACTATTTAAAAGTAGAAAAAGAAAAACATTAAAATAAGGCTATTAGTTTTAGGGAATTTACCTTGATAAGAGGTATCTGTAAAATACATGAATGAATCTCATGTGTAAGTTGTTATTCAAACATATCTTCCATTTCACTGATAGTCCTAACTCAAGAATCTCTTTACATTCTTTTTTTGAAAAAAAAATGAACTTTAAAAAGATTTATTTATTATTATTGTTTTAATTTTCTATAGAGTACATGTGCTCACCAAAGACAGAGAGAGAGAGAGAGAAACAGAAAGTGAGAAAGCAAGGTGCCATTTCGAGGGCTTGAAGCATGATCAACCATGTAGGAGTCCAGGGCTTTAACCACCATGCCACTGGTGGCCCCTTTACATTCTAAAATAGTCTATACGACATGGAGAAAAAAGACCCAAAGAATAATATTAATAAGATAATTACCTTCTAAGATAAAGCATTAAGTTTTGAGTATTTTCTTTTTGTCCTGATATCAAATTAATAGTTTAGTATAAACTCCATCAACCAGATTTTAAGAGAAGTCTGTATCTGTTCCAGTAATAAGTATAAATAGTGAAAGGAACTATGTTAATGTACTTTGGAGATAAATTCTTCCTGACGAAATTTTAAGTCTCTTTGAGCCATCCTAATACAATGATGCATTTCCCATGTTTTGTTTTTCCCATTAGGAAATAGGCATACACACATACAAACCATTTGTAAAATTCTGACTATGATGATGGTTCAAACTTAATTAAAATAATTTAAAAAATCTATACACACAAATTTTTTTTCAATATGAGGTATAAAGAATCAAAAAGCAAAGTTATAGTATCAAAAATACTAAAAAAAAAATCCACACAAAATGGAATCTGAAAGGTGCTACAAAAGACAGAAGATGATAAAAGATAGTGATTAGTACTCACCTGGGCTGAAGATGGTTTTTGCTCTTCAGAGAGAAAAGATTAGAAATAAACGGGTTAAAATTGTTGTATTAAAAAAAAATGCTACTAAAAATATATATGGGGTTTCTGTCTCAATAGATCTTTAAGAATAGGCAAATTATCCATTTAAATAAATGCATACATGCAAGAATGGGCTAGATGTGCACTGTCCAGTATTTAAAATTTAATTTAAAATTTAAATTAATTAAAATTAAAAATTCACATTTTCAGTTGTACTGGTCTTATTTCCAGTACTCAATAGCTACATTGGCTAATGACTATGGTACTGGATAAAAGTATACTAATATCTACATATAGACAGAGAACATTGCCATCATCAAAAAAGAATTCTACTGGGCAGCACTCGGCTTAAATGGCTAAATTAAAAATTGCTTGACTGTCTCTAGAGCTTTTGCAGTTCATTCCTTCATTCATTTAACTTTTTGTTCTACTTTATAGAATCTTTTCTTTTTCATATTAAATAAAAATGTATGCAATATATGGGGCCAACAAATAGTGTGGCGGTTAAGGGGCTGGATTTTCACATGGCCAAACACAGTTCAAGTCCTGGGCCCACCAGCCTGAAAATCATGCTGGGGTATAGGAGTGCATGATCAAAAAAATCCCAAGAAGAGAATGGAGAAGAAAAGACTGCTGCATAGCTATCTTCGCCCAGGGATGATTTTTTACTTTCCCTCTCTGTCACTCTCCAGGGAGTACACATGCCCTATAACAGACTTAAAAAAAATAAAAAAAGAAAAGAAAGAAAAGTATGAAATTTCAAAAGACAGTTTTATCTCTACAGAACAAGCAGTAATTTAAAATGTTTCAATCTACATGAACACTTTTTAAAAAAAAATTCTAGAACTGGGGCCAACAGGTGGCATGGTGGTTAAGGAGCTGGATTCCCACATGGACAACCACAATTCAAGTCCTGGACCTGGTACCCAGAGACTTGAAAATCATGTTGGGCATGTGTGTCCAAAATCCCAAGAGGAGAATGGAGGAGAAAAAGACTGTGGCATGGCCATCCTCCTGGGAGGTAATTTCTTGCTTTTTGTTTCTGTTTCTCTACACATGTCCTACAGCAAAAATCTCTTTAAAAATATATATATATTTCTAGAACTATACAAAATGTATATAATGACCATCATACCTTGATACTGCTTAATGTAATTAGTTAAGAAAATATATTTAATTTATAAATATAAATTCAGATATACTATGATTGAAGAAAGAATATAAATTCACTGAACTCAAGAGATATGGTAAAGAAAATACCAAATAAAATTATTTGTATGACAGACAGCAATAAAATCTATCAGAATATTAAAACTGTTCTTACATTACTTAGTATATTTGATTGAAATAAAAACTACTAGCAAAATCCCATTTATTAAAGAAATACATGAATATAAGTATTTATGCTTTAAAATAAAAACTACTGAACTCAAAGATAATACATTAGAGATAATTCACATCAGAATTCACAATAAATAATAAATTTATGAATATGCAGGAAGGGTAGAATCCAAATTATCCTTACGTAAACCTATAGAAATTAATTAATTGACTGGAAGTGATATAAGTGGACCAACAAATAACATTTTTAAAGAGAGAAAAAAAAACTAAGACAGCTTACAAAATTTCTAAGTTATTAGTTTCTTATGAGATAAACAATGTAACAATTTAGCAAAACAGTCATTTTCTAATTTCATACATTATTTCTGATAACTACTCATCACATTTTGTTTTTCAGTTTAGGACTTAGGTCATATATCCTACTGATTTTAAAACACTCATAAAAGCAATTTAAAATTCACTGATATTTTTTATACTAACAAAAACTTCTCTAGAATATCTTCTTTCTCTTTACCAATATATATATTTTCAGTTGATTAATCTTTAGGATTATTATATAGAGAAAGTTTGGTTTAAAAATGTAAATAATCACAAACAAGAACAAACTAAACAAGCAAAGGAGTAGAAAGAAATTAAGAAAAAGAAAAGAACCTTAGAAAAACAGTAATGAAGATTAAGAATATTCTAATAAGATGAATATGGTATATTTTCCTTGATCTGATTATTGCACATTGCATGCATGCTTTGAAAATCCATACCACATAAAAGATGTACAATTAAACATAAATTAAAAATTATAAAATAGAAAAAATTAATAAAAAATAATATTCTAATATAAGAATTAAAGCAACTCTTAAGCAATAAAAGCCAGAAATAGAAAGTAAAAGTTTTAAAAGTTTTTCTGATTAAAGACCAAATAAAAAACATGCATCAGATCAGGTTTTTTACTATATTATTAGATAATAAATTCTTACTGTTTTGAAGTCACAAATTTCTTCCCCTACCCATCCCCCTCAAATAAATACATCAAAAACACCATTAGGTTACAAATACCAAAATACCATAATGTTCATATACTGAGATTCACAGTTTCTGGATTTATTTTCCCACCACTTAAACTGTGGATCATTGCTATCATGTGTGAGTGCTTGTTCAACTCCTCTTGCTGTAGTTTTACCAAGGACTCTTTCTCTTCCAAACGACCTTCTAATTGGGCCTTTTGAACCTCTAGAGAGGAAGCCTAAGAATTGAGAAAGAAGGGTAGAAATTGAAAAGAAAAATAATTTAGCATGTTTTAACTTCACAGAAATTTTAAGATACTTTACTTTTTTATTTGTAAGACAATCGTTTCAAGACACATTATAACTGTATATTTTAGTAAAGTTATATAGCAAATTTAAGGTAATCATTAAAAAACACAGAACAGATTGAGAAGATAATTTTAACTTTTTTTTTTTTTTTTTTAGGCTTTTGGTCTCAGGGGGTGTGTGCACTCACTCACTGCAGATAGGGAGGAAGACAGAGAGGGGGAAAGTAAGAAATCACCCCCCCAGCGGGGATGGCCATGCCATAGTCCCTTCTTCTCCACTCTCTTCCTGGGATTCTGGGGTGCCCCCATCCCCAGCGTGATTTTCAAATTTTCAAGCAACTAGGTCTGGGACTCCAACCATGGTCAGCCATGTGGGAGGTCAGTGCCTTAACCACCACCACCTGCTGGTCCCTTAATTTGTCTTTTTAAGTTAATGCTAGCAGCTGAAATTTTGCAGCAGAACTATGTACTACAATTTAGAATTTCTAATGAGATAATCACATTAAAGCAGAACCAGAAAAATTATAAATATGGCATTAAATTTTGTCTCTTTTGTGACTTAAGCTCTGTAGCAGTTCAGTCTTTAATCCGAGCTTGTTCTCAACTTCCTTGTAGTAAATGGGCCAGAAGGTACCATTCATAGTTATCACTCAAATTATATAATCATGATAAAGAACATTGGACTCAGGATTCAGAATGTGTCTATTGTTCCATTTACTAGCTATGTGACCTGACAAGTAAACTCAGACTTAGTTTTTTCATTTATAAGTTTAAAGTATTTATTAATATTTATATATTAACATTACATTTGTCAAAATGTGGACAATTAAGATAATGTTTCAAAGAGTCCTTTGCAGGCCCACTATGGTGAGGCACAAGTAATGCCACTGTTTGGGAGGCATGGCCTCAGTTCTGGCAGCCATGTGAGAAGTGTGAATTCAGCTCCTGGGCCAACCTGAGCATGCTGGGCATGACCGTGTACACTAGTAATCCTAGTTATTCAGGAAACTGAAGAAGGAGGAAGTGACAAGGTGAGACCCTGTCAAAAATACCTATGCTTTCTCTCTTTCTCTTTCATTTAATTAAAAAAAATGGGGGGGGGTAAAAAAAAAAAGAGTCCTTTATAACAAATATGAACTACTATTATTACTATCCCTGTATGCAAAGCTATGACTTATATGCCTATACAGGTTTTTTTTTTTTTTTTTGAGAGGTTTTTGCTATAGGGTACATGCACTCGCCAGAAAGACAGAGAGAAACAGAGAGACAGAAGGTGAGAAATCACCCCCTAGGGGGGATGGCCACGCTGCAATCCCTTCTCCTCCATTCTCCTCTTGGGATCTTCGGCACGCATGCACCCGTGCCCGGTGTGAGTTTAAGCCACTGGGTCCGGGACTCGAACCACAGTCGGTTACAAGGGAGTTCAGTGACATCGCCATTACGCTAACTACTGGTCCCCCTACACAGTTTTTTGTATGTGACACTGAGGAGTGGGACACCTTCCTGTATGCGCTGCACACTTGAAGGTGGCAAGTGCCAGCATATAGTACGCACTTAAGAAATGTTTGATGATTTTAGGAAATAAGGGTTTCCACAATTCACAAAATAGGACTTTTCAATTTTACTACAAAGGAGAATTTGAACAGATTCTTACCTTAATGCTCAACTCTTTTCTTATCTGTTCTGTTCTGCTTAATTCTTTTCTAAGGATATCAATGGTTTCTTCCTTATCTTCTTTTTCCTTTTGTAAGACTTTAATCTTGTCTTCTTGTACTTTTGTTTTTTGATGCAAATCTCAAAATAAATAAATGATCAGCTATACTCAGAGGTCTTATACTGATATCACACTGAAAAGGTAGAGTGGCTGTTATAAGGGCAAAATAGGAAGATGAAAAAATATCTTGCTGGAAATATAAGTTTTGTAGTGTTTTCTGAATGCAAAACACGGGGAAACTCTTCCTCCATGCAAGTGTTCTATAGGAAATATCAGACCTCCATCTTTTTCTGCCTTCTCTATTCTAAAGATAACATACATTAAAGAAGGGAAGGACAACTCTCAGAGCTTAAGGGCTAAAAGAGAATGAGAGAACAACTATAAAAATTATATAGGCAGCTGTCTGTCTCTAGGAAAATGAGTTTTAACAAAAATGTTTTTGTGGCTCATTTCAGATATATCATTAAGAGGACAGTAACTAAAAGTTACCTAGCACTGCCACCTGCTGTTACATTCCTTAAAAATTTTTATTTTAAAAATGGCAATCATTTCTTATAACACTTAGATTTCAAAGAAAGTACTGCTTTTTTTAACATGACTAATCAAAATAAACTGATTTTATGAGATGTTATGACAAGAAAAGGAAAGCTGTTTAGATTGTGACTTAATGTTTTAAAAAAATCAGAGTAGAAAATAATGAGAAGCAAAATAAACCACTTATTCTTTTTTTCCCTAACACAAAATATGTTAAAAATAAACAGTGCATTAAATAAACTTACTTGCCAGTTTATATTCTCTGTCTACAAGCTGGTAATGAACTTCTTTTCTCTGTTCTTCTTTCTCTATTAACTGGGCAATGGTTCTAAAGTTAAAAAAAAAAAAGAAAACATCTACAAATCAAGTCGTTAGTCACTTTTTCTTCCTAACAGATAGTTTAAGAGAAGATTTGTAAGAAAAGTAATTTACTTGCAAATTCTAGCAAATATTTTGTCTCAAATAGCAATAAGTATATTAATTTTATCTCTAAAACCAAAATTCTAGAGACTTATTTATGAAAAAAAAACACAAATAATTATAACAGAGTAGAGATTTTACTTTTCATTTTGCTGCTTGAGCGATTCATTCAACTTTTTCACTGTCTCGATTTGTTTATTCAGAGAATCACACGTAATTTGTAAATCTTTATTCTTCTTTTCAGTAGTTTCATTTCTGAAAAAGAAGGTAATGAATTGGTATCTTTATGGGGGAAAACATGTAGAAAATACAGTATTTTCTTAACTATTTCTTCTGACCAAATTATATACATTGCAGGTAAAAAGAAGGTTATGAACAAGTAGGACCTAAAAAGAATTTGATAAGCTCTAAAAGTCAATAAACATGTTTCAGCTGATTATGTGTTAAAAATTACTGTCAAATAAAAATGCATGGGGCTAGCTGGTGGCCTTGTGTTGAGGTAACTGGATTCCATGTGGCCAACCACATGATTCCAGTCTCAGACATGGCAGCTTGAAAAACACATCCAGTATGTGTACATGTGTGCCCAAAAACCTGAAAAGTGGGAGAAATAGAGAAGGGACTGCAGCATGAGAGTCCTTTATGGGGATGACTTTTAATTCTCTCCTTTTCTCTCTCTCTGGTGAGTGCATGCATCCTTTGGCAAATTAAAAAGAAGAAATATGTGTGACTTTAACCTCACATTTATAAATATAAAACTTTATTTTACAAACAATATAGCTTACCTTTAAAGAAATTTAAGATTCTAAATTTCTCTGCCTTGTTAAAGCTCTATATCTTACCATCCTTCTTATTTTACCTATAAGGTAAATTAGAAAGAATTGTTTGTTTCTTTTAAAAAAAAAAAATGCAAAGGATGCATGTGCTTGCTAGAGAGAACGAGAGACACAGACAGAACAAGAGAGAGAGAGAGAGCACATGCCCACAAAAGCACCTCCCAATGGAGCATGTTGACACCACAATCCTTTCTCTACTTTTTCCATCCATTTGGAATTTGGAACGTACAAGCACTCACACCTCAGTGTATTTTTCAGGCCACAGGGGTCTGGATTTGAACTACTCAGTCATGGGTGATCAGGTTTCCTTTACCATTAGGCCACAAGCCCGAGAAAGAATCCTTTTCTAAAGTAATACATTGACACCAAACTATCTAAAGCGTAAAATGCCTTTTTTATTTCACTAAGATATAATAAAACAAAAATGAAAGACTGATGGTACTGACGAAATCTGGTTGGCAATGTGTTTAAATGTCCCACAGGGTCTTTAATAATCTGAATGTAATGCCTTTAGATGGTCCATTTTGCCATCCATTTTTCTATCTATTACTGGAATAAACTGTTTAATTATGTTCAAAATCTATTCTTTGTCACAAATATATCATGAGCAATTTGAAAAGAACCGAAAATATGAATGAGAAAAATAATCTGGCTCTTCATAAACTAAAAATTATGCTATAGAAATTCATTAATAAAGTCAAAATAATCTGAAATATTCAAATATTCAGGTTGGTTATTACATGACAATAAATTATACCTCAAAATCAATTTCAAAGTGTAAGGTTTATTAAACAAGAGTAGTCTTGAACTTTTTACAAAATACTAGTAAACACTTTCCTTTTATCTCCAAAAGGTCATAGAAAATAAATACTCTGTGTTCATTGTAGGTTGTAACCTTACACAGAAGCTGTTACTCTATTTACCTCTGAAGCAGTTCCATGTAGGATTTAGTGAGCACTTCATGTTCCTCAGCCACAGACTCTAACTTCCTATTGTGTTGAAAGAGATGCTCAATATCACTCTGGGCTCTTTCTGATTCAACCTGCTGTGACTTCAGCAATACACTAAGCTCTTCATTTTTTCTCTCAACTTCTCTCAACATACCAGCAAGTGTCCGTGCCTTTAAAGAAAACAGAACACAGGCTTTTCCACTAATTTATATAATACATTCAAGTTTCTACAATTTAAAAGATTTGTCAAGTACCTAATAGGATAGTATTTATTAGTGAATGTAAAGTTGTGTTAATCATATATAACTTATTGCTTAATGACTTCTACTAAATCTGATGCTATTATAGTTTTTTATTTAATATACTGTTTTGACAAAATCAATTTGGGTACACTTACTGGAAGTAAACAAAACTGTAACAATCTGAAGGTAGCTTTTACATATAGTACTCAATAAAATGGGTGTGGTCCTTGGGGCTAGCCATTAACACTAAAACACTAAGATTATAGCTATCAATTTCCCCATCTCAGGTAACAATTGGAAATAAGATCTTAACTGCATTATGCTTAAACAAACACTTAAAATTAAACTTGCCTAATCAAGGAACAATACTTACATTTAAAAAGTTATATGAAATATCAAAGAACCAGAAAAGTAAAAGTAGAGTCCTACCATCCATTTAGTCTTAAAAATTCTTATTTTATTTATTTATTTATTTTTTTGGAGAGGTTTTTGCTACAGGGCACGTGCGCTTGCCAGACAGACAGAGAGAGACGTAGAGACAGAAAGTGAGAAATCACCCCACAGGGGGAATGACCACGCTGCAATCCCTTCTCCTCCATTCTCCTCTTGGGATCCTGGGCACACACGCACACGTGCCCGGCGTGAGTTTAAGCCACCGAGTCTGGGACTCAAACCACGGTCGATTACGTGGGAGTTCAGCGACGTAGCCATTATGCTAACTGCTGGTCCCAAAAATTATTTTTAAATGCAGATGAAAATTAAGCCCTTCTCTGTTTTTATGACACAGACTATAAAGAAGTAATACCCAATTATTTAATGTTATTTTTGATTATTTTTTTCCCATGGATAAAACATTAAATTCTCTAATCTAAGCCCTGTAAGACAGGGCTTAAAATATGTTATGAGAAAAGAAAAAAAAATTTTTTAATATCACTAATTTCCTTTCTTGGTATTTATGATAAATTCAACATATTAGTCAAGACAAATTAAATTATGCTTAAAAAAGAAAAAAATATAAGTGATTATATTTCTTTGTATTTTTTAGAATACCTTTATTCTGAAAAGACTTAAAAGGTATGTTACTTGTCACTCATTTTAATGCCTCCTTCAAAAGGTAGACAATTTTATTATAATTCATTATAAATGATATCAAGTTGTATAGATTCCATTTATAACTGCTTGGAATTTTGTATCACTACTGTTAAGTTCTTAGACGTAAGTATGTGTGTGTGTATGTGTACGTAGCACAATGCCAAACTTACTGAGCACCTACCATGCAATATATACTGTGCTAGGACCTGGAGATACACACTCTAACATCACCAGACAGGGCCTGGGTGGCGGGGGGTAATATGTTTTTCACAAGGTATAAAAAATGTCATTGGGGGTATGTATGGTAGATACAAAGGAAGGATAACCAAACACATGTGGAAAGAAAACCAGACTAGGATTCTGGGAAATGCAGGTATGAAACCTAAATTAGGATAATAAAGAATGAAGTAAAGAAAGAGAGGAAAACATGTTGTGTCCATGGAATAGTAAATACAGAGACAGGGAGACACAAGATAATAGCAAGCTGCAGAAAACACAGTTGCCTAGTAGAGTTGACTTCAAAGAGAGAACAGAAATAAAAGATGTAGACTGAGAAGTAGTCAGAATACTCGTATGCTCAATTAGGGGATTTAAATGATATTCTGTGAGGCATGGGAAACTACTATGAAGGATATGCAACACAGGAGAAATAGGATCTGATTAATGTCTTAGAGAACCCTGTGGATAGAGGTGGGAAAGGGGGAGTAAAACCTAGAACAAGAAAAAGTTACTTTGGCTGTAGTCAAGAGGGTGGCTGAGAAGAGGGCATTAGACTACAGTAGAAGACTAACTGGAGGCTCTGCCGTGATTCGTGTGAAAAGTAAAAAGAATGTGACCTTTAGCAAACAGAGGTAGAAAGAGACAAGACAGAAGAAAACAGTATTCCTAAAGTTGAATCAATGGGACTTTGTGAATAATTATAGGCAGTAAACTGTGTGGTTTCCAGCTTTTTTTATTTGGAAAACTCTCGTTAACAGCAGAGTGAATACAAAAGAATAAATTTTTGAAAGGAAGTAGTTTTGATTTCATTATTAGTTATGCTATATATTTAAAAGAAGCTATATAGAAAGGATTCAGTGCTCAGGAAAAAGATCTGTGCTCAACATGTAAAACTGTAAAGTCCAATATTTTGTTCATTGCAAATTGAAACCATAGAACCCATAAATAAGGGGAAAGGGTGTGGAAAACAAACCTGGTAACCCCCCAACATTTAAGGGTAGACCATATAATACATGGGAAAAAGATACCAATTCTGTAGGAAAAAAAGCTAGAACATAAGGATGTAATGAAAATTAAAGGAGTGAGGGACCAGCAGTTGGCGTAATGGCTATGTTGCTGGACTCCCACGTGGTCGACCGCAGTTTGAGTCCCGGACCCGTTGGCTTAAAACTCACGCCGGACACGTGTGCGTGCATGCCCAAGATCTTGAGAGGAGAACGGAGGAGAAGGGATTGCGGCGTGGCCATCCCCCCTGGGGGGGGGGTGATTTCTTGCTTTCTGTCTCTCTGTCTCTGTCTGGTGAGTGCACGTGCCCCATAGCAAAAACCTCTCCAAAAAAAAAGAAAATATGAAAGGAGTGAGAGTTTCAAGGAGAAAATAATCATATGTTGTAGAAATTTTGCTTCCATTAAACAAATATATAATCATTATTTTACTTCATTATTTTTTCTATTAATCAGTTGTGTCTTTATATCATACACGTACCTCTGTCTCAGCTTGAGTTCTTTGACAGCGATATTGAGCAATGAGTCTATCAGCCTGTGCAAGGGCTAAAGCTTTTGCTTCTAAGAGATCTTGTAGCCTGCTTTCTTTGGACTGTAAGAAAACATATTAATTTTCCTTATTTCAGGAAAATATCCATTGAAGATTATAGAGAGTTAAAGTAAGGGTGTACTCACAGCTAATGTGGACAGTTTCATCTCATATACATCCATGATATCAGATATTCTCACATCATTGATTTGATCCTTTACCTAGGTTTCAAGAGAAGTTTTAACACTCAACAAGATGACAAAATAAAATAAATGCCTTACTTTAAAACTAAAAAAATTAAAACGTAATGATGAAGGGCCAGCCCTGTAGCACAGTAGTTTGGAGCTATATGTAGGGAGACGGATCCCATATGACTGACTGTAGTTTGGCCCTGGTGGCTTGAAAAATAGGTTAGATGCCTGTGTGTGTATGCTCAAAATCCTGGCAGAAAATGGAGGAAAATGGAAGTAATATGACCAGGCCCCATAGGGGGTGTTCTCTCTTTCTGGTCAGTGTACACACCCTCTGGCAATTAAACAAACAAAAAAAGAATGCTGTGTCAGACAGGTAACAAATGTGGTTAAAGCTTGATATGTCTGTGGCAATTAAAAAAATAATTTCTTAGGGATCAGCAGGTGATGTGGTGGTTAAGGTGCTGGACTCCCACATGGCCATCCAATGTTCATGTCCTGGACCTGGGGGCTTGAGAATCAGGCCAGGCACATGTGAGTATGTGCCCTAAATCCCCAGAGAGTAATGGAAGAGAAGGGATTGCAGTGTGGCCATCCCCCTTAGGGGTGATTTCTCATTTTCTCTCTGTCTCTCTCTTTTTCTAAATCCCCTTCCACACAGCTTGGTAGGTGGCTGGGTTGGGGTGGAGTTTAAGGGAAAGAATAGTAACTGTGTTAGAATGCTAGGATTTTATGACTGACTTTTCAAACTTCTCAAAATACTACTTTTTATATAAGATAAGGGCTCAATGATAAAATTTGCATCTAAAGATGTTTCAATCAACATTATAGGCACAGCATTTGGCCTGGTGGTTAAGGGGCTGTATCCCACAGGGCTGAATGCTTGGTTTGAGTTCTGCATCCAGAAGCTTGAGAAACACGTTGGGTGTGTGTGTGTGTGCCCAACATCTTGAAAAGTGGGAGAAATGAAGGAAAAGGGATTGTTGGGAACAGCAGTTAGTGTAATGGTTATATCATTGGACTCTCATGTAGTCGATCATGGTTCGAGTCCCAGACCTGGTGGCTTAAACTCACGCCAGGTGCGTGTGCGTGCGTGCCCAACATCCTGAGAGGAGAATGGAGAAAGGATTATGGTGTGGCTGTCCCCCCTAAGTAGTGATTTCTCAATTTCTGTCTCTCTGTCTTTCTCTATCTTTCTGGCAAGAGCAAGCGTCCTATAGCAAAAACCTCTGAAAAAAAAAAAAGGAGAAGAGATTGCAACATGACCATTCTAGATGGAGAGGGTGTTGTCTCACTCCCCGCTCTCCCACCCTCTGAAAATTTAGAAACAGTAAACAAACAAATGTTATAATCTGGGTTAATACTTAGCTGGTATGTACCAGGCACAATCACATTTATTATTGCTATTTATCACTCACCACCACTCCAGACTGAAGTTTCTCTATTAATTCCTCAATATTCAATCCAGGAATGTTATCTTTTGAAAGAGGAGGAGTTAAACACTTTACTGATGTTGGAAAACTGTGACTTGTTGACGGTAAAGGCATTCTTCGGGGCACATGTTCCGTTTCCTGCTGTCTATAGGCATTATTTGCTGCAATACTTTCCCCAAGTCTGAATGGGAATCAAAAAGAAAAAGTAATAATTAAAAAAGAGCAAAATGAAAGACAGCACAGAATTAGAGGATCTTTTAAAACAGGTCTTTCTTTTAAATGGAACTCTTCAACTATTATCAAAATAATCTTCTTAGAGACTGAAATGAGGTTTGGCGAATATCCTAAATTTCCTGAAGGACCACCTTTTCTATTTATAACCTCTGATTTAGAGGTATTGTAGAATTAGTTTGTGAATGTGGTTTATAATAAATACAAAGTTAATGGTACTGGTCAGAGCGACCAGCCTATACCATGCCTGACATCACCTGGCCTTTACCTATGACCTTTGACCTTTCTCTTTCTCACTCAGTATATTTTCACTAACATGACTTCCATTCTGCCCCCTTAAAATCCTATTTTGCTCCTGTCTGACGGCTTTTGTACAAGTTATTTCTTTAACTGAAGCAATTTTTACCATACTGTTCTGCATAGAGCTAGCTCCTCTTCCTCATAAGGTTTTGGCTCAAATTTACTTTCTCAGAAAGGCCTTCACTAACACCTACTATGATACTAACATTAACTGGCCTTCTTCCTCCATGGTGATTTTAAAAAAATAATTATTTATTTAATTTTATTTATCATTATTATTATTTTTAATTTGCTAAAGGGCATGTGTGCTTACCAGAAAGAGAAAAAGAATGTGAGAAAGCAAGCTGCTGGGTCTGGGACTCCAAATACCACGGTCGGCTATGTGGGAGTCAAGCGCCTCAACCACCAAACTACCTGCTGATCCCAGCAGTGATGTTTTCTAACTTATCTCTCAACTAGAGAACAAATCTCATGATAGCAGATAGCTACTCTAATTTACTACAACAACCTACATGCCTAGGAGGCTTGGCCCATCCTCATAGTTTGTCTTCATCTTGACTATTAAATGTTTAAATAAAACAAACAAGCACAAAGACAACCCATTATCCATCATAATAAGTCTACCTTATTAAACTGCTGAACATAATATCAAATAATAGCATTCATCAGTAAGCATAAATGAACACTCTGAGGTAGTGCTCAGAGAAAACTATGTATAACACAAATAAGAGAAGGTAAAGACACAGTGAAAGTGGTGGGAAGCCTCACATGCAGAGGAAAAAGACACTCAGTGCAGCTGCAGCTTTTGCTTATGAGCTCTGAGATTTTCTTTTTCTTTTCTTTTTTGAGAGGTTTTTGCTATAGGGTATATGTGCTCGCCAGAAAGACAGAGAGAGACAGAAAGCGAGAAATCACCTCCTGGAGGGATGGCCACATTGCAATCCCTTCTCCTCCATTCTCCTCTCAGGATCTTGGGCACGCTCGCACATGCGCCCAGCGTGAGTTTTAAGCCACTGGGTCCGGGACACGAACCATGGTCGACTACGTGAGAGTCCAGCGACATAGCCATTGTGCCAACTGCTGGCCCCTCTTTGGAGTTTTTTTAGTGTCACATTAGCACAGTGGAAGCAAGAAAGTCACCACAAAATGAAGCCACTCCAGACCATGCCCAAAGGGGACTTCAAAGTTAGAAAAACAGGGAACCAGCAACTAGCATAATGGCTATGTCGCTGGACTCTCACGTAGTCGACCATGGTTCGTGTCCCGGACCCAGTGGCTTAAAACTCACGCTGGGCGCATGTGCGAGCGTGCCCAAGATCCTGAGAGGAGAATGGAGGAGAAGGGATTGCGGCGTGACCATCCCCCCTGGGGGGTGATTTCTCACTTTCTGTCTCTATGTCTCTCTCTGGCTGTCTGGTGAGCACACGTGCCCTATAGCAAAGACCTCTCAAAAAAAAAAAAAAAAAAGTTAGAAAAACAGGACTAAAGTACAAGTTTATTTTGGTACAAGAAAGTTTTGAACTCTATGCATAATTTTCTCATAATAAGCATTTTCCTTCCTATCTTGTAATGTGAGAAGCTTCCTACTTGTCTGTTTTTTGTTTGCTAAAAAATATAAAATGAAGAGAATTTCAATTATGTGGTCTCTAGGTTTGTATTTCACAGTTCTTTAGCTCTTAATTTTTGCAGAGCTAAGTTATTAATTCTAAAAAATGAGATTGTTAAATCAGTAGCATACAGTATGAATTAGAAAACTTTTTGTCATGGGAAAAGAAGCCTACATATAACAATTCAACCTGCTATTACAGAGTTAAAGTAGCCATAGACAACACAGGTAACATGAAAACGAATGGGGATAGCCTTGTTCCAATAAAACTATTCACAAAATAGGTAACTGCACTGGCTAGTTTGTTAACCCCTCCCAGAGAATGTCTTAACATCTTACTTATTTACCAACTACTTCAAATTATTCAAATCACTTTCAGAAATTATATAAATAGCTTACTTTTTTTAAAAGAGAGATATTTGCTATAGGGCTTATGTACTCGTTGAAGAGACAGACAGAAAGTGAGAAATTACCCCCCCTCAGGAAAGATGGCCACGTTGCAATCCCTTCTCCTCCATTTTCCTCTTGGGATCTTGGGCACGTACGTACATGCACCTGGCATGAGTTTTAAGCCTCCAGGTCCAGGACTTAAACCACAGTTAGCCATGTGAGAATCCAGCGATGTAACCAATACAACCTCTGCTGGTCTCTAAATAGCTTACATTTTTAATAATTTACTGAAGTAGACCCCACATAAACATGTTTCCTCAACATTTAATTAAAGAAAAGTCTGAAAATATTACAAAATTGCAGATATTCTTATTGCTTGAAAATTAATGAGTATAGTAGAACATTTTGCTTGGCCATTATCTAATTCACCTTCTGATAAAAGCACCGACTTTTTCTTTAGGGACCTCCCAGACCACTTACGTAACTACTCAGTCCATATAGTTCTCACAGCTGACTCCTTGGCAAGTGACTCATCTGGTCGATGACAGTTATACTTAGATTTTCTCTTAAATAACTGGAAAGTAAAAGTTCTCTCTATAGAGGAATGAAGCTAGTAGGATCTCAGCTTAGAGTGTTCAGAGGCTAATACATTAAAAAGAGATGGTAAGAGACAGAAAAGAATAATATCTAGATAACATATTTAAACCACCTTGTTCTAGCTTTTCCTTGAGTGTGAATCTGGTCTTTTCAGCTCTAAGAATCGAAAGTAACTTTTAAAAATCACTTGAGGGGCCGGCAGGTGGCGTGACAGTTAAGGATGCTGGACTCCTACATGGCCACCTGCGGTTTGAGTCCTAAACCTGGCGGCTTGCTTTCTCACTTTCCCTCTGTCTTGCTCTCACTGTGACCCTCACGGTCAAATTAAAAAATAAATAAATTTAAATAAAATAATTCTAAAAAAAATCGCTTGAAAGAGTACCTTTATAATAAAGTTTTCAATTCATTAATTTACTAGCTTATCTATTTTAAAGACCTCCAAAGAAACAAAGCAAGGTATCTAATACCACAAGACACAATGCAAATGATTACAACTTACACTAAAGCAGGAAAATCTGGCAGTGGGGCAGCTTCCAACAGTATTCCCAATCCAGACTGTACTTGTTCTCTGTTATCTGATGTCAAAGCAAAAGCCAAAGGAGTGATCAAACGTGGATCCTAAGTCAATCAAAGACCAGAAAAAAAGAGCAAAAAAGAATAAACATTAGATCTTTCTGAGTAAGGATACTTAACAGAGCTAAATCAGAAACTAATTCTAAGCAAATTCTAAAGTGTTTCTATTTTATGTCAGCACTTATTATTAGTCTTTACCTTATTACTGCTGTTTATAATGTCATGTGACCAAAATGAACACTAGCTTTAAAAAAATCTGGCAAAGCTTTTGAATGCTTTCAACTGTATCTATGAAAAGTATGTCTTAGGGACCAGCAGATGGCATAGTGGTTCCATCACAGGACTCCCACATGGCCGACTGTGGTTTGAGTATTGGACTTGGAGACCTGACACGCAGGGCTCATATGCATGGTGTCCTAAATCCTGAGAGAATGGAGAAGGGACTGTGGTGTGGCCATCCTCCCGTGGGTGACTTCTCACTTTCTGTCTCTCTAGCAAGCGCAAGCACCCTAGAGCAAAAATTTATAAAAAAGAAAAAAGTCTTAAATATTTTAATGAATTTAAAATATTATCCATGATTGACTTACATTGAGAATTACTATTTTACCTCTTTCTAGCTACCATTAAAAAAAAAACTTAAAATGACTAGTTGCTTACATATTAAAATCATAAAATAAGTTAAATTTGAATAAACTCAAATCAGAAAATTTAACTTTTTTTTTTTTTTTGTGCTTGCCAGAGACAGAGGGAAAGTGAAAAATCATTCCCCTAGGGGAGATGGCCATAGTGCAGTCTCTTCTCTACTCTTCTCAGGATTCTCAGCTTGCATGCACATGTACTCATTGAGATTTCCAAACTGCCAGGTCTAGGGCTTGAACAGCGAAGGCAGTTATGTGGGAGTCCAGGACCCCAACCACCATGCCATCTGCTGGCCCCCATTTTTTTTTAATAATTATTTCTTTAATTTGCTAGAGGGGAGCATGCATTTACCAGAGACAGAAAGGAAAAGTGAAAAAGCACTACCCCTCTCCCTGCCCCACCATGGGTTATAGTCACACTGCAGTTAATTCTCTACTTATTCTTTTAAGATTTTGGGTATGCACGCACACACACCCAGCATGTTTTCCAAGCTGTGATCAGAACTTGAACCACATAGTTGGCCATATAGAATCCAGCCACCTTAACCACCGCATCACAGGCTAGACCCAGAAAATTTAATGACTGAAACAATATATTTAAAATCCGTTGCGGTCAATGGTTTTTTTTTTTTTTTTAATTCACATAATTGTAAGTGAAGAAAATCTTTTTTTTTTTTTGAGAGATTTTCACTGTAGGGCGCGTGCGCTCGCCAGACAGACAGAGAGAGATAGAGACAGAAAGCGAGAAATCACCCCCCAGGGGGGATGGTCACGCCGCAATCCCTTCTCCTCCATTCTCCTCTCGGGATCCTGGGCATGCACGCACACGCGCCCGGCGTGAGTTTTAAGCCACCAGGTCCGGGACACGAACCGCGGTCGACTACGTGGGAGTCCAGCGACATAGCCATTACACTAACTGCTGGTTCCCAAGAAAATCTTAACATACAAATACTTCACAGTTAAATTGTTGAGTGTCTTATATAATAAGTTTCAAATAGAAGCCAATGCTACAGCATGCTGATGAGAAGCTTTATCTCCATCATTCTCAATGGTAACCGTTCAAACATCTTTCCATTAGGTGGGAGGAGGACCATTATCTCCTGTTTGTAGTTAAGGAAACTGAAGTTGAGAGGGGTGAAATAAATTGCTCAACTAACAACTGGTCGGAGGAGTATGGTCTTCAAAAAGCTCATAGAAAAGGAATATTATGAAAAAACTATGCATGGATTTCAATTTTTTTTACACCAAAAAATACCCCTGCACCTTTATTCCATTTTCCCATCTTACATACCCTCAATAAATCTACATTTAAACCTAGTCTCTTTAAAATAATGCTATCAAAGTATGTAGAAGTGTCCCTGGTATATTTTTAGTTTGGGCTTCTATTGTGTCAGGAGAGTCCAATCAACCTGAGTCAGTGTAATACAAGTCCCTTTTAATTGAACCCTATAAGAAAAGTAACTTTGAAAAGACCAATGTGCTATGTGTTCGGTATCCATTTTCCTTAGCCCTTTTCAGTCTGTAAAGACAGTCTCCTTTGCTCAGCTCATAGGAACACTCATTCTATTATAGAATGAGGCGTTGTCTGATTCTAGAATCTCACATAAAAGCCAGTCAGATCTTTAACTACTCACTTTTTTTTTGCATTATTTTCTGTTTTGATAACATCTAGAACTCTTATTTAGCTATTATAGTAGCTAAATTGGCTACTGGCTATTTTCTGTGTGATCCTACCAAATCCTATCATTCACAATCAAGTCTTTTCATTCCAGATTGTGTCTCTATCCTCTCAATACTCTCTCATAAACCTTGACCAAAATCAGGCCTAAAAATACCACCTTCTCCACAACATGAACAGAAACTAATGAAGAAACCAGCGAATATGATATAAGAAAGGAAAAGGTGGAGGAAGCAGCAATATTATGAACATTCTGAGCATCAGAATTACGAACATTCATGTTTGATTCCTGTGAAACTACACAGAATAAGTGCGCAGTGAGACTATCAGAACTACTTAAGACAACTAACAACATTAAACTTTCTCCTGATGGCCAAATCTAAGAGAAACGTCTATTAAAAATTAAGAATATCACAAGAGAAACATAACCATGAGGAAGCATTTACAGATGATTAAACTTCAATGTTTGAAAAGTTTAATCTCACCTGAAGGATTTTGTAGAAGCTTACTTCCATACCAGGAATCAACTGTTTAAGTTTGTTCATCAAATCAAGAGTCTTCAAAATTACATCAGCAGCAAGTTTGCTTTAAAAAGGAGTCATATTTACATTAAATAACTGAAAAATTTATTATAACTTATTTATCTATAATTTTTTAAAAAAGAAAAAAACCAAAATATTGTCTCTAAAATTCAAAAAGTTAAAATATTACTTCTGTTGAGAAATAAAAATAATATAGTTCAACACTGTTACAACTCAAGATCCAAAGAAAACAAATGGGTATTAATAGTCCAATAGTCTAAAATAATGACATGATTAAATTTACTGTTTCAAATAAGTAGTAGTATTGGAACATGACCCATTTAATTCTTATCTTTGTCACTGGAATATCAATGATAGAAGGTAACCTTGGGTAATCCAGAATACCTAAAATATAGTGAATGAATTATACTAGTCATATTATTCTCAACTTTGTACTTGAAAGAGTATAAAAAAGTGAAACTAGATAATCCTCATTCTTTAGGAGCACAATTACTGATAATTACAACATTTAAGAAAATGGAAACAAATCATAGTTCCTAGAACCTGGCAGGTCCTCTTCTTAGGTAGACTTAATTAATGCAAGAAAGGGGTATAAAAATGTCTCATTTTTCTCAGTAAAAAGTCACCTGTAATCATAACTCCTGACATTCTAAGGATTTGCTATTGTTACTAAGAAACTTTCATCACTGACTGATAATTCTTGCAGTAAGACAATTTCTGTCTTTTTTTCATGCTTTTCATGTAAAAACATAAAATTAGATGAACAAAACAATTTAAATCATTACTGGAGGAGTGTCAAAAGGAGTTCCAAAAAATGGTCAGGAACCTTAGATAATCCTAATAATTAAAACAAGTCAAAAACCAAGCTAAATAGGGGCCGGCAAATGGCATGGTGGCTAAAGCAGCTGGACTCTCACATGGCTGACTGTGGTTTAAGTCCTGGACCTGACAGCTTGCTTTCTCACTTTTTCTCTCTCTCTCTGATCAACTTAAAAAGAACAACAGAAAAAAAACCCTAACCAAACAAAAATCAAACCTAAACAATAATGGATGCTAATATATTTCTTTAACAGTGTGCAATCTGTGAATTGAATTAATTTAAAAATTAAGAAAGTATTTCAATTAATTATGTTATATCCTGAGCTAATATTAATATTGTGGTGTTGGAAAAATCATGATGCATTTTTACACAGAAAAGTATAAAAAAGCATGTCATGACTTTTTCGACAACCCAATAGAACATACAGACGAATGATCCTCCAAAAGTAATGAGAACCACAGCTTCTGATTTTTACGGCCTTACTTATTAATTTTCCCATATGGATTTCATATACTCACCATAATTCAGAATCTGCTACCTTAGTTCCAAACCCCAGATCAATCTTGCCATATGTAAATTGTTGCTCTATCAGAGTGGTACACTTGATAGTAGTCAGAATTTTTGCGACATGCATTTTCAGAGTATCGTCTCCACACAGAGGTTAAGTTTTGTTAAGAAACACAAACAAAACATTCTCTAAATACTTTATATTTGTACAGTGCTTGATAACATCCAAGGGGACTTCATACAAATTAACTTATCACTTCAATCATGTAAATATTGTTACATAAGCTCAATGACAGATTAGAAAACTGGAGTTCAAAGCATTTAAATAGCTAGTAAGTTGCAAATGAGGGACTGGTTTCTAAAGTTGCTGACTAAAAAGAAACAGAGAAAGGATATTTCTCCATTAGATGGTTGTTTTTGTTAGCAGGGATCACAAATATCAATAAGTATTTGAATTAAGGGAAATTATTAATATTTTCTCATATTTGTTTATCATAAATTTTATGTTTCATCCAAAAAAAAAATCCTGTTATGGTACCATATAATAAGAGAAGGCCTGATTGTGTTAACTATGAATATCTCTAAGGTCAAGCAAAGCAATAATGGTCTCTACAGCAGTGGTTTTCAACTTTGGCTGCATTCATCTTGTAGTCTGGACAATCACAAACAAAAAACCAAACCCCACACACTCCCCACTGCTTGCAAGGTTTTGCATTACTCCAATTAAATTATAATCTCTAAAAGCAAACTTTGGCCTTCACAGAACATTTATATTTTCCCCAAATGATTCTAAAATGAAGCCAGGATGGAGTCACTGCTGTAAAGGAAGAGGACAGTTAAGGACTAGCTCAGCGAGACTAAACAGAGGTATTTTTCTCTGGGGCAGGACAAACTTGGGCATATTCTTGTTGCTTTCACATACAAGAAAACTTAACCAGGTATATTTAAGTGATAGAGTAATCAATTTCTTACAATAAAAGAATATTAATAAAATATTAAAGACTTAGAACTTAGACTTCTTAGCAACTCAGAATCAGTATATCTAGAAAAAGAAAGCACAGGAAAAGATCTAAGGAAATAGGTGTATATAAGTTAAGCAATGAAACTAATTGTATTCAAGACTTTTTAAAAATAAATTAAGTTCTATCTTAGTATTTTTTATAACCAAGATTTGTCTTTTTTATAATCAAGTGTGACATCTTTACTAAAACATTCATATAAGACTTTCATTTTTAAAATGTGGTAAAACCATGAAAACTATATATTTTGCCCTTTAATGTACCCTACCTTTAGTAGACAACTAATCAGGGGCAGTAGTGACATCAAAAGCTGAAGAGAGTAACCAGAAATAGTAGAACAGTCATTTTAGAATATAGCTTGAAATCTCAAATTCTGATAAGTTCAAATTAAGTTCCTAATGACTTTCTTAAAATATTGTAGCTGACAAGTTTTATACAGAAAGGACCAAGAAAATTTTACATAACTTTTTAAGACTCTTCAATGATACTTATCTACAGGGTGGCTATTTATATAGTTTTTATGTTTATGACAGTAAAGGATATTCAACAAAACTTCAACAGCCTTGACCATTCTTTCACATTTTTTCCTTATTAAGGTCTCATCCAGGTTTTGTTCTGTAAACTGAAGTAGGTCAAGGATCGTAGGCAACAGAAGGGTCACAAAACGGTCAGCTGAGGAACAGTTAGCAGTATCTATAATGTCCTGGAGAATTAACCATCATCAATGATTAAAAATACAGAACACTGAATGCAGAAACAGTCATCATTGAGTTATAACACTTTTAAAATTCCTGGGACCAGTAGATGGCGCAGTGGTTACATTGCTGGACTCCCACGTAATCGACTGTGGTTCAAGTCCCAGGCCAGGTGGCTTAAAACTCCTCTGGGCGTGTCTATGTGAGTGCCCAAAATCCCAAGAGGAGACTGGAGCAGAGGGGATTGAGGTATGGCCATCCTCCTTGTGGGGTGATTTTTCACCTTCTGTCTCTCTCTCTCCCCATTCCCTATAGAAAAAATCTCTCTTAAAACTTTTCTTCTTATTTAGTTTAATACTTCATTGATTGCTCTTATTTAAAAATTTCTTACAATTTACTCTTATCTAGTTTTAAGGGCCATAATAGCTTTTTTTCACAAAAAGAATGGTTAACTCTCGTAAACAAAACATTTTTAAGAAAACTAAGTGATTTAAAAATTATTCTTGGGGTCTATAGATGGCATAGCAGTTACATTGCTGAACTTGCAAGTTGCCGACTGCAGTTCGTGTCCTGGACCGTCATCAATGATTAAAAATATAGAACACTGAATGCAGAAACAGTCATCATTGAGTTTGGATTGAAACTCATGCCAGGTCCGTGTGCTTTCATGCCTAAGATCCTGGGAGAAGAATGAAGGAAAAGGGATTGCAGTGTGGTCATCCCCTGGTAGGGGGATGATCTCTCACTCCCCCATCCCTTTTTTTTGAGAGGTTTTTGCTATAGGGCACATGTGCTTGCCAGAGAGACAGAGAGATAGAAAGCAAGAAATCACCCCCCGGGGGGATGGCCACACCTCAATCCCTTCTCCTCCATTCTCCTCGCGGGATCTTGGGCACGCATGCACACACGCCTGGCGTGAGTTTTAAGCCACCGGGTCCAGGATGCGAACCGCAGTCGACCACATGGGAGTCCAGTGACATAGCCATTACACTAACTGCTGGTCCCACTTTCCCCTCACTGTTGTCTCTCTGGCAAGCACATGCTATCAAAGGCAAAAAGCTCTGAAAAAAAAAAAAACTTATTTACTGAAAATACCAAAATTTGCTAAACGTAAATAAATAAGTAAATAGCAAACATTGGTTTTAACCGTTTATAACCACATGTAATTTAAGAATCTCAAACAGTTTTTTAAATGCTAAAATGGGGGCCAACAGGTGGTATGGTGGTGAAGGTATTGGACTCTCACATGGCTGAACCAATGTTTGAATTCCTGACCTAGCAGCTTGAAACTCAAAGTGGTGCATGCGGATATGGTTCCAAAATCCCAAGAGAAGAATAGAGGAGAACAGATGAAATGTGGCCAGCCCCTCTGGGGGGGTGGGGTGATAGTGGTGATTTCTCTCCCTCTGATGAGTGTATGTACTCTATGGCGAAAACATAAAAAAAAAATGATAAAACTAATTGTGAACAGTCTCGACTAAAATAAACTAGAAAGAATTTGTGTATAATCCTTAATGAACATATATATACACACACACACACACACATATGAATATATATAAAATATCCCATATACATATTTGTGCATAGGATCCAGTTATGAGGAAAAACATTTTAGGAAAATATTGTGGCAGGAAGAATGGTTATAAAAACGGGAAAAGAGAATACAAAATTGTCCAGATAGTAGATTCTACCAGAGTGTTGAAATTTCTGTCTGTATCCTAAGTACCTAGAACATTGTCTGGCATGTTCCACTCCATTTCACTAATAGTATTCAATATTCTTATATTAATCCACTCAAGAATTTAAAAAAAGAGTAGATAACATCTACTGAAGGAGACAGAAGTGACTAATGCTAGTACAGTTATATAACCACAAACCACATATTTTATAAACACCTTTACTACTTATGCTGAAATGAGCATGTATAAGTTACTCAGTAAAAAAACAGAAAACATTAATATATGTGACCTGGGCAGAAAAAGACTCAGTAGCTGAATGATAGGGAATCTAATGTGTCTGTTATAGTGTGCCTATTAGTAATCAAGGTTTCTTACTGTGTATGAACAATTAGATGCTTACTATGAATGTTTCTGAAATTGTCCATCGAGTCGTGAAAATGGAAAAGTCAACTTGTCAATCACCTTATTACCTCAAATATTTCCTTGAATAACTCCAGTGCTAAAACGGAGCAGTTTTCTGAGCCATCCAAAGGTAAGCACAGCCAACGAAGTAGAGCCACGGTAGGTTCTAAACACTTAGAATGGCTTCCCAGAATGGTGTTGCCAGATGGAGATTGTTCAAACATCATCTGAGTGAGCACATGTCGCAGCTGAGTCACTGAACAGAAGGCAAGAAGTAATTCTAAAACCTGTGCAATATAAAGTCTTCATTAAATGTCAGTTTTGATAGACTTTAATATACCAAGAAAGCATTTAATGAAGCTGAAAATGCCATATATAGCAGCCCCACCCTGTCTACAGTTTCATTTTTTGTAGTTTGTCACTAAAATCTGTGAACATTAAATGAGAAATTCCAGAAATAAATAATTTATAAGTTTTAAGTTGTATGCCTTTCTGAGTAGCATGAGGAAATTTCACACTGTTCTGATCCATGTAGCCTCAAGCAGGAATCACCCTTTTGTCCAGTGTGTCTATGCTGTATACTTGTGCTACTCACCCACTTAATCACTAAGTAGTCTCCTAGGTTATCAGATTGAAAAAACATAATGGAAAATTCAGGGTTCTTTACTGTTTGCTATTTCAGGTATCTACTTGGGATCTTGGAATGTATTCTTGAGAGATATGGATACTGTATTCTAAAACAAATTATTCTAAAACAAAATTAAAAGCAGCTTCCAATTTTTCTTTCAGTATTATTTTTTGAGTGTGTGATTAAATTCCAGAAGGTTACAAAGAAATTTGTTTTTTTCTTTTTCTTTTTTGGAGAGGTTTTTTTTCGCTATAGGGTGTGTGCGCTCGCCAGACAGAGAAAGACATAGAGACAGAAAGCGAGAAATCACCCCCCAGGGGGGATGGTCACGCCGCAATCCCTTCTCCTCCATTCTCCTCTCAGGATCTTGGGCATGCATGCACACGTGCCCGGCGTGAGTTTTAAGCCACCGGGTCCGGGACGCGAACTGCGGTCAACTACATGGGAGTCCAGTGACATAGCCATTATGCTAACTGCTGGTTCCCAGCAAAGAAATTTGTTAATGGTGATTACCTCTGATAAGCAAGACTGTGAGGATCAATAAAGGTTTTCGCTATAGGGTGTGTGCGCTCGCCAGACAGAGAAAGACATAGAGACAGAAAGCGAGAAATCACCCCCCAGGGGGGATGGTCACGCCGCAATCCCTTCTCCTCCATTCTCCTCTCAGGATCTTGGGCATGCATGCACACGTGCCCGGCGTGAGTTTTAAGCCACCGGGTCCGGGACGCGAACTGCGGTCAACTACATGGGAGTCCAGTGACATAGCCATTATGCTAACTGCTGGTTCCCAGCAAAGAAATTTGTTAATGGTGATTACCTCTGATAAGCAAGACTGTGAGGATCAATAAAGGGCAACTTCAATGAATGCTATACTCCTTCCACAGTACTTACATTTTTTAAAAACACAAAATATTTGTTTTAAAATGACAAAATATAATTAGTATTAAGAATGCTTGCTATAATTCTAAGATTTGAGAATTGTTATAAAGTATAAAGATTATAAAAACAGCATCCTGAAGCCTTAAAATCCTAAGGATGGCTATTTCCACACTATTTGCACATTGTTTTCATTATGATATTCAGGTTCCCTAATTGTATTCCATTTCTTCTCTACTGTATAAATTGAGCCTTACACTGTTATATTACATCCTACATCAACCTGTCTATTAATTAAAATCCACTTTATTTCATAAACTACCAAACTACTAATTAAAAATAAAAGATTTCTTGGTATCTCCTTGCTTACCTACTTATTTCCTATTTTTAAAAAATGCTTCTTGTACGTGACATATAATTGAGGTTTGTGTTTTAATCACTAGATAACATGATTTTAATAGAATTCAGTCTGCTAGCATTTATTGTAACTAGTAGTAAACAATCTTAGATTTACTCTTTTAAACATAAGCTGTAGTACTTGTTTTTGGATAGGTAACATTTGCATGGTTCCAAAGTCAAGCCCTAACTTGTAGCTACACTCCTTGGAGGAAGCAATGTTACCAGTAACTTATCAGATACTTTATGTACATATTAGAATACAGTTTCCATGTCCATTAGTTTTCATACACATACAGAAAAATAGGCAATCAATCATCAGAACAAAGCTAGATGATTGTCCTAAGGTACAGTGGCTATTCTTGGTAAAAGCAAGGGTAGACAGTGACTGAAAAGAAGCACAAGGAGGGTTCTAGAGTACTGGTGATATCTTCCTTCCTTATCTAGACATAGGTTACATGACTACGTTTAGTTTGTACCAATTCAGAGAGCTGTGTACTTAAGATTTTTTTGTACAATATAGTTTTAAAAACATTCCAAACAAAAAGTCATGTTTTTAAATACCTTTGAAGAAGAATCAGGGTCCTTCCCATTAAGAAGACCTAAAACTTGATTAAGACATGAAGAAAAGTGCTCATACCTAGGTTTAACAGAAAAAAAAAAATACATAAAATAATTATGAAATCCATACATCAGGATTTATCCACAAGATAAATGTAAAATTTAATTTTTTCACCTATTTGGGCTTCTAATATAGAACACACACTTGTCAAGGTTTTGCTTACAACTTGTATGTCTTACCACTACAATATACATAAATAGGCCCTGGCATTTACTGAATCACAGTGACTCATGTGGCAATAAATAAACCATTGAAAATTTTAGTACCTCAAGCCTTTTTTTTTTAAAGAGTATGTTCAGTTTTTAAAAATTCAAAGGACATAAGAATATGCTAATATATCACACAGCTACTTATTTATATAAAGCACCAAAAATTGCCAAGCATTAAGTGAGGTTCTGTAACTGCACAAGGAAGGGGTAACAACTTGTGTTACACAACTTCAAGAGATACCAGAAGTACCACTCATATTGCATCCTATGTGACTGGTACATTATAGATTTGGGAGAATGGTATCCTGTAAGGGAACTCATAGTCTAAAGATGGAGGCAAAAGACAAGAGTGATGATGAAAGTAATATAGACTATAATGGAAGAATGTATGAGATGCTATGAAACATAGGAAAGGGATCACACCCAGATTTGAATTAGAAAAATAAACAGGAGTTATATAAAGAAGAAAGTATTCTAATCTTCCAGAGTTAATAATACTCTAATGGAAACAGCACATGAATACATGAAAGAGCATTTCTAGCAAGCTAAAGTTTTACTTGTTGTCTAATGTGATTGAACAAAAAAACATATAAAGAAAAGGCTATGGGGTGGCCAAGGTTCATATTTGGAAGGCTATATTGAGAATCTGGATATTCATCTTGAATGCAAAGGTAGGGAGGGTCACAGATTTAAAATGAAAATATGGTTGAAGAAAATGTTGGAAGTTGAGCGTATTTATAAGTAAAGGGGAAGAGTAAATTGAATGGAAGGCACTGAACAGGTAAGAAAAGCTACTGAAGAATAATGAGACTTAATACACAGAATAATGGGATATGTTTATGTGACAGAATGAAATTCAGTAAGAATTGACATAAACACAGGTAAGTTTGTTCATGGCACAGATCTGAAGGTGCTCCAAAAATGGAAACCGCCCCCCCTTTTTTTTCTTTTTTTAAAAATAAAGATAAGGTCATCTCTTCAGTAAAAAGAGACAATAGAAAAGTAATATTTGAAACAGCCATTGTAGAAATGAAAAAGCTGGGAAAAAAAAAAAAAGAAATGAAAAAGCTGAAGAAGTAAATATTAAGGATTAAGGGCTCTGTCCTAGATAGCAGTTGTATGATTTTCTCAAGCTATAATTAGAAGTCCAGGCATAAATTAGACTTTGGAACAGATTCAGGATTGAGGTTTTGCTAAATGATATAGTAGATAAGCAAGAGGCCTTGCCAAAAGTGTTTCCAGGGTTCCAGACTGGATAGAGAACAAAATTGATAATGGAACTGAGAGTTTACAGAGAATCGATAAAGCAACGTCTTATAAATTAGATGTCTGTCTATATTTTTTAATTGCCAGAGGGCAAATGCTCTTGCCAGAGAAAGACGGCAAGAGAAAAATCACCCACCAGTGGGGTGTGGTCATGCTGCAATCTCTTTGTCTCCCTTTCTCACCTTGTTAGGATTTGGTGTACAAGTGCACACATGTCCAGTGTTTTTCAAGCCACCGGGTGGGATCTGAACTGCTGTTGCCCATATAGGACTCAGCTTCCTTAACCACGAAGCTAGAGTCAATCCAGATTACCTATCTTTACATCTTGGAGGATCCAGCCAAAAACTATTTCCACTTATGATAAAGCTATAAAATAAGCACTAACTGGTAGCCAAATGGATACAGATGGGTGTAGTAAGACAACAGATGAAGAGCATGCAGGTAAAGGGAGGGCACTCTGGAAGACAAAATTTCTATTACCTATAGATTGTGAGAAGAAGAAAAAGTAAAATGTTAATGTGAATGCTTCGTGGTACTGCAAAGCATTAGTTGTCCTTACAAAAGTGTTCAATTTTGCCATATGGCTTTTTTTTATTAAATTTAAATTTTGGATTCTATGTTTCTTAAAAATTTTTAACTATGTGACTGCCTTCACATCCTGCTGCTAAGATCCCATTTCTGCTACTGCCTGGCCCTTACAGGAGTTTGATAAATGTTTTATTTGTGAATCATGAGTCAATTTAACTGTTTCAAGCAGTATTTAATCATTTCTTTACTTAGGATTCCAAAGCAGCTTAGACACTGGAAAATTTAAGAAGCAAAAAGGCTACAAGCTCATTAGGTATGTTATAATCTGATCTCAAAATACAAATGACCAGAAGGGGTACATTAAGATAGAAAGGGGTGGTAAACACATGGTCCCATTTTACTTCACCATACAAAAGATGCATGCACGAAAGAAAGCATTTCTTTTTTTATACCAAATAAAGGAACAAAGACATAGTCATAGTCACATTGTAATCCCTTCTCCATTTCTCCATTCTGTCAGGATTTTGGACATGCATGCACACACGCCCAGCTGGTTTTTCAAGCCACCAGGGCTGGGACTGGAACCATGTGGTCGGTCATGTAAGTTCTGGTTTCCTCAACTGCTAGGCTATGGAGTCAGCCTTAAAATTAGCTTTAAAGTCAAGTAGTCAAGATAGCTATACTTTAGAGAATGACAGAACTCTGTTGATTTAAGACAAGGACACACACACACAATTCCTTACCTTTACATTTCAGTTCAAGAAAGCAAAAAGAATGGGAGTTAACTGCAGAAAAAAAATTTCCATTTAGCCTACTGTGAATCAGTAGAATCCAAGTTCTAAGAAGGCAGTTTCACTTATTACAAATAAAGCAGGCCCTATAAAATGGCAGTTAAGTGCTATGCGTAGAAGGCTGGATCTCACATGGTTGACTGCTATTTGAATTCTGGTCTTGGCGGCTGGAGAAACCACTATGCCCTTGTGAGTGCATCCTGAGGGGATGGCGGAATAGAAGGAAAAGGGCTGCAGCATGACCATGCTTCATTGAGAGATGTTCTCTGTTTCTCTCTGGTGAGTGCAAATGCCCACTGATAATTTAAAAACAGTAACAATAAAAACAACAAAAAAAGAGAAAAATCCAATTTTTTCTTTATCACAAAAACATCTTGGTTAAAAAAAAAAAGTTCTAAAATTTACTCAAGTGAATCATACCTGGTAAGATAATCAGCAATTTTAGGATTCTTAAGAAGATCCATCAGTAGGTCAACTGAATACTTTCTAGTTAGGGTACCATCGCCATTTATGAGAATATTAAATATTAGCTGAAAAGTCTGATGAATGTTTCGAGCATGAAATAGCTTAAAAACAAAATTAGAAAAAACAATTACAGCAAAAAAAAATTTAACACTAATCTAAACTGTGAAATGCCTCAATGACTTAAAATATCAGACTATAAACTTCAGAATTAACTTTATGAATAATAAAATAAATATTTACCTTTTCCCCCACTTCTTCATTTAATGTCAAACTGGATAATATTGAAAGTGCAAAAACAACCACAGTTAAACTACTATGGGCCAAGAAGGCTATAAGAGTTCGATAAAAGGATTTTACATTACTCTGAAAAAGAAAATAATATATTAAAAATAAATTAGAATAAAAAATTATGAGTTTTATATTTGGTGCAAAAAGTCTTTCTTAGACAATAAGTATACTTTTAAAAACATCATTATCAAGTCTATTAGGCAGGAAATCTTATCTTAAAAGATCATTTTTTTCTTTTTAAGAGAGATTTATGCTATAGGGTGTGTGCCCTCACCAGAAAGACAGAAAGACAGTGAGAAATTATGACCCCATGGGGGATGGCCACACTGTAGTCCCTTATCGTCCATTCTCTTCTTGGGATTTTGGGCATGCATGTACCCAGAACTCAAACTACAGTCAACCACGTGGGAGTCCAGCAATGTAACCATTATGTCGTCTGCTGGTCCCCAAAAGATAAATAGATAAATGCTCTTTTTTTGGAGGTATTTGCTATAGGGCACACGCGCTCACCAGAAGACAGAGACAGAGAGACAGGAAGTGAAAAATCACCCTGGGATGGCCACACTGTAATCCTTTTTCCTTCAGTCTCCCCCTGGAATCTTGGGTACACACACACACACACATCCAGCATGAGTTTACGCTGGGTCCAGGACTCAATCCGCAGTCAACTACATGGGAGTCCAGTAATACAGCCAATATGCCAACTGCTGGTCCCCAAAATAAATGTTTTAAAGGACAAATTTAGATAAAAGACAAATGTAAATTCAAAAACTATTATGAATAAAGAGGAATTAGAGGAAAAAAAAATTGGTAATAGTATCCAAATGAATGGAAGATGAAGTTTTGCCAAGTCACCTTGGAATAAGTAATTCAATCATAGTAAATCAGGGTGTCAATTCCAATATCTCCAAAGGGAAACATGGAGAGTGGAAACAGAAAAGCTACCTTAGACACAGGAAAAGTCAGTTAGCATTTGCTTTAAGTAAATAACTATTAGTAATTTCATGATCACAGGGAAAACCAAGAAAATACTCAACAAATTGGAAAAGGTATTTTTTTTTGTTTTTGTTAAACATCTTGGGGCAGCAGTTAACTTTGCCACGTTTCCTAGTTACCACTTAGACTTAGTCTAAGCATTTGAGCAGTGAACACGATGGTTATGTTCCCACACTGCTGACAGTATTATAGACAAGTACAATCTTAGTGAAGAGTAGTGTCTAGGTACTGCCTGTTTATAGATACTCTTTGAAGTTTATGAACAAATCTTCAGTTTATTAAATTTAACTCTTCTAAATATGGGCTTTCTTCAATTCAGAAGCTGAAAGCATGTGTGTGTGCCTACACATGCACATGTGAATTCATATAGCTAGTTCTTGCTTCCTTTCTATAAATCTTTCCCATACATGGTTCAAAGTAACTATCAAAATTAAGACCAAGTCAGAATAATCCAGCTCATGAACAAATGAGACATTATTTAAAATAAATCAGGTAATTATAAATATTGTATAGCAGAGGAATTGTTAACAAAGCATCTCAAAAAAAAAAAAATCCACAAACTTTTTTTCTTTGTAGTTTTTTGCCACAGGGCACATGTGATCATGGGACGGGGTTGGGGAGGGGGGGAGACACCATTGGGAAAGTGAAAAACCACTCCCCCAGAGGTGACAACCATACAACAATCCCTTCTCCTGGGATTTATGGCATCCAGTCATATGTGCCCAGTGTGACCTTCAAGCCAACAGGTCCAGTATTCGAACTGTGGTTTGCAATGTGGGAGCCCAGAGCCTTAACCACCACATGATCTACTGGCCACAAACTTTCTTGGTTTAATATATTTCAAAAAGGGTTTAGTTAAGTTCATTAGTGTGCCTTTACTTATTGTAAGTACTGGCAGTTGATACTAGGCCTTCACTCATGGATCTTTCTGGTAGAGATGCCAATGATTTTGGTAACACAAGACTGAGGTAAATGGTACAGCTAATAATGTGACTCCTTCCCACTAACAAAAATAAGGGAACCAGCAGTTAGCGTAATAGCTATGTCGCTGGACTCCCATGTAGTCGACCGTGGTTCGTGTCCCGGACCCAGTGGCTTAAAACTTACACCGGGTGCGTGTGCGTGCGTGCCCAAGATCCCGAGAGGAGAATGGAGGAGAAGGGATTGCGGCGTGACCATCCCCCCTGCGGGGTGATTTCTCACTTTCTGTCTCTATGTCTCTCTCAGTCTGTCTGGCGAGTGCACGCGCCCTATAGCGAAAACCTCTCCAAAAAAGAAAAAAAAAATTAATTTAGCAACTTTTGTATTACTCAATGTGACAAGTAATGAAATGTTATGGAAAGGAAAAACTTTAAAAGTCAGTATTTGTATTGATTCTCAGCTTAGAGTCTTAAGTACAATATATACAAAGGCTGGAATGCTTCCAATTATTTATATGCCTGTCTGATTCTTCATTGTCTTTGATGGCTCAGATAGAAAGATACAAGAATTCTTTTTTTTTTTAAGAAAAGGATGAATAAAATTTTCTCTAAGCATAGAACATTCTACAAAAAGAAACAGAAACATTAACAACAACGAGCTTCTTACCAAAGTCTTTATGTGTGTTTGAACAGAAAGGTTGTGTCGACAAAGATTTGCCAATAATCCTAGACAAGGCATTGTTAACTCGTCTTCAGAAGATTGACTGTTGTTTTACATTGTTTTGTTTAAAGAAAAATAATGAAAGACAAAAAGTATTAACTTCATTCTGAATTAGTCAAAATGATGCCATTTACACATTTAAGTTACTTCACATATAAAAGAGTTCAACTTACATGTAAAGAAAGTCATACATTACCAGTACTAAATGTTTTGAAAACAAATCATTCTATTTGATTGTATCACAGAAATATGAAAATAACTGTCAGAGTGATCATACACTTCCAGAGAACTTCAAAAAATTCATGGAAAATAGAATTAAAGTACAAGTTTCTTTTGGTAAAAAAAAAAAAAAAAAGAAAAACTTAACTCCAAGCAAAGTTTCTTTAGTAATATGCATTTTCTGGGACCAACAGATCGCATAATGGTAATGTCATTGGAATCCCACGTAGTCAACTGTGGTTCCAGTCCCAGACCAGGTGGCTTAAAATTCATGCTGGATGCAGTACATGCATACCCAAAATCCTGAGAGAACGGAGAAGGGATTGCAGCGTGGCCATCCTCACTGGTGGGTGATTTCTTCTTTTCTGTCTCTCTCTGTCTCTCAGGTGAACACATGTGCCCTATAGCAAAAAACCTCTTTAAAAGGAAAATATGCATTTTCCATAAACTTTTTAAATACCCTTTATATTTCATCAATATACTTTTCCATCAAGATTAAATATAAACATATAACGCTCAGGTTCAGTAACTATTTTCTGCCAAAAAATTTTCATAAAATTTTGTTTTGAAAAATAAAGTTTCACAACATTTGATCCTTAAAATCACCCAAAAGGGGTAAACAAGAATCAGAGTCTGACTCACTGCAAAATTAGAAAAAATATCTAGGAAGAATTTATCTATTGCATAATTTTAGTTTAAAACTAAAACAGTTTTTGGTTACATGCTTGGTTGCATACTCACATATGATCTATCAGGAATGTAATTAATTCATCTATGTTGGCAGCAGAATGGAAAACTTTGACATTATATGTTAATTTCTGCAGAAGGTTAATGCACTGAGAACAAAGAAACAGTAATGAATATAAACACATAAAAACGTACTGTCTACTCACAAGACTGGACTATCGTATTTTCTGAGCATGTCATCATTTTAGAAGGCAGAAGTCAGGGCAAGAACTCCATTTCTTTTTTTCTTTTTTTGTATGACTGACATATTTAATTTCAATGTTATCATCATATTTTACAATTTTGTTATGTTTTTTGTTTTTTTTAATCAAATAAAATTTTTTTAATGTGAATATTCTTTTTAATTTTTTTTATATATATGCAATCACATTATTTAGCTTACAAAGTGAACATTTCAATATGTGAACATTTCTCCCCAATCCAGTTGATCGAAATATCTTCAATGGATAACACCACACCTCCCATCCTGTCAATGCTCTGTCTCTGTATCCCTCCTCCAAATGTCCTTCCTTAGGTCCTGCTTCTCCACACACACATTTCTTAAAACAATTTTGTTTTTACTAAAAAGTAATGAGACTACTAAGAAGCTTACAGTTCATCCTGATTCATGCACATTCTATTTCATCAATCTTGTCTGTTTAGTCATCTTAAACTTAAATGTAGACGGAAATACACACATACTCTTACAATTCGAAGCTATCTTTCGTACGTTTTATTTCTAAAATTGCACGTCAGTTTAATTGTGATGTTTTTCTTTCTTATAACTGATGACATTTTTGATTCGATGAAATAGTTATGAATTTATGCTAAAGGAGACTATATAAATAGCTTTAACTTTTGTAGGATGTTTCCTCAACAGACTGAGACTGGATGCCAACTCAAATTATGATTTTAATATGAATAGCTTACATTTCATAAAGCAGACATCTGTGTTTATAAGTCAAAGCAGCTATAATGTAGATTTGTTTTTCTTCAATAATGGTACTAGACATGGGTATGTTTCCCTGCTCTAGAAACATTTAAGTAGCAGTACATGTGTGCCCAACCAGACCTTAATGACAAGAACTGTACCTAATCATGTATTATACTAGTACATACACTAAAAGTTAGCAGTTTATATTTGAGACTAAGGAAAGGGAGACAGGTGTTAAATGATGGTGCAGTGTGGGCATATATATACCTGCAAAAACACAGACTCATTATGGCAAGTGCTGCTCCGACAAACCACTCCTGCCAGCACAGCATTCAGATTGTACGTATTCTGAAGACAGTTTCTGGTTTCATTGTCTACAGCTGTTTAAAATAAAATGGCACATAAAATGAATCATTTTTATATATGGTCCTCATGGATGAAAAAAGTAATTTAAGCTTTATTTCACATTAATTTACCACCTCAAAAATATAGTATGATAAAACTATTTTACTTACTAATACCCTCCAATTCAGAAGCTCAAATAATTTCTCTATAAGAAATTTTAAAAATTGCTTAATATATTTGTAGAAATTCTGTTTTAAAGGTTACAACTTTGGCTCAGCAGTGGTGACAGTGGTAATACAATGTTTGACAACGCTTGAAGCCATACAGAAGATCAAGTTTCAGTTCCCAGTTCAACCTGTACAAGCCGGGTAAGTCCAGAGAGTTCTGGCTAACAGAAAGACTGAAGGAAAGACTATGCTGTGAGAACCTGTTGAGGGTGCTTGTCTCTCTCACAAAGTAAATAAATAAACTAAAAAAAAAAAAGATAATCACTTAAAATTTTTTGTAAGCCTAAATGTCTAAAACAAAATCTATTAATTAAACAAAACAACTGAAATTTAAAAATAAAGAAAAAGATAATCATTTACATTTCTAATGTATTTAAACACTAAAAGTGACTGGCATTCTCATCAAACTATAGTGGCTAAGCCGGGCCAGCCCTGTAGCCTAGTGGTTAAGGAAGCTGGTCCCACATGGTCAACTGCAGTTCAAATCCCAGAATCCTGATCCTGGTAGCTGAATAAACATGCCAGGCATGCGTGCATGTGTGTGTGCTCAAAACCCTGACAGACAGAGCCTCATGTTCCTAGTGGCTACTATATTAGACAACACAGATATAGCATTTCTATCACTAAAGAAAGCTCTATTAGGTACTGTGGCATGACAATGACCCATTGAGGGGTGCTTTCTCTCTCTCTCTCTCTCTCTCAAGTGCATGCACCCTCTGGTGATCAATAAAATTAAATAATATGAATTAGAAAAAGAAAAAAGAGGCAGAGCCATTGGAAAGCAATTTAGTAATGGCTAACAAATTTTAAAATGACCTGGAAATTCTACTTCAATTTACCCAATACAAATATACTAGTATTTGAGTAAAATTACATGAAAATGTTCATTTGCACTATTGATTCTAATAGCAAAACCTTGAAAAAGAATATGAGTGCCTACCATTATGGGAACAGTTGAGTAAATTATAGTACCCTGTAATTATGATACTAGATATTAAAAAGATTCTGATGTGAAAAAAAAACAAACACACAAACAAAAACCCCTGGGGCTCACCAACATCATTTATGTTAAAAATAAGCTACTAAGATTTAAAACTATTAGTTATAGTGTAGAAAAAGATCTGGTAAGACACATTATCAAGCCATAAAATGAGATTTTAGCCCCAAAGGCAGAAATAATGAGGGTGGTGGTAATGAGTAAAGACTCATCCCATTTTATTCTATATGTGTATTGTTTAATTTGGTAGCCACTAGGCTATATGAGGCTACTTTAATTTAGATTAATTAAAACTAAAGATTCAGATCCTTAGTCTACTACCCACTTGAAGTGCCTAATAACTTCATGTTCCTGGAAGCTACTATATTAAACAACACAGATCTAATATTTCTATCACTAGAGAAAGCTCTATTAGAGAATGCTGCTCTGGGTTAATAATTTTGGTCACAGGAACTTTTCTATGTTAAGCATATGTTAATTACTGAACATTAGTATTGTTATCTTCAGCTCTAAGTTCAATGTAGTCTATCACAGAAGGATGACTTTGATTGGTATATTTAACAATGGCATTAGGTGTGACACTTTTTTGTTTGCTTTTTAACCCAAAAGTAGGCCAGCATTCCCAAAGTGTATTCTTTTCTGAACAGTGAATCTTTGACATGCTTCAGATTCCTCAACCCAGTAATTTTTTTTTTCAAATTCTGCACATCATAATATTGCTCTGCCTGAAGATTCACAAAGCATAACAACTGTGAGAGTTCCTGAAATGAAGAAATCTTTGAAAGTCAAACATTCTTCAAGAGATTCTATATATCTGTACTTTAAAAAATAATACATTTGGGGGCCAGCAACTGGCATGGAAGTTAAGGCAGCTAGATCTCACATGGCTGACTGCAGTTCAAGTCCTACATTTGGTTGTTTGGGGGAAAAAAAAAAAAAAAAAAAAACCTCACATGAGGAACATGTGTATACCGGTCCCAAATCCTGAGAGTTTCGAGAAAGGAGGAGAAGGAATGGCAGCATGGCCATACCTCCTAGGGGGATAATTTTTCTCTCAACTCTTTCAGTGAACACACACCTTATAACAAACAAACAAAAAGATGTGAGAGAGCCCTGTACCTAGCGGTTGTTAATGGAGCCAAATATCACACCACCTACAGCAACTCTAAACCCAACTCTAGCAGCTTGAAAAACATGCTAGGCATATATACATGCATGCATGTTCAAAATCCCATCGAGATGGAGAAATGGAGAAGGGACTGAGTTGACCATATCCCATTGGGACATGCTTTTTCCTCTCTCTGATTCCCCTCCATTTCTTTCTGGCAAAGTGCACAAACCTTTTGGTAATTAAAAAAAATATATATTAAATTTATGCATTTAAAAAAAACGGAAAAGGAGAAAATTAAATGCATTACCTAGTTGAGACAGCAAACTGATAATACTTAAAATCAGTGAAGCACTTATATTTGGGTCTTCAAGTAGCTCTACAAGACAACTCAAACATTCACTTGGTAATATTTGATTTGATGTAAACAGTCGTGTGAGCTTCTGTCCAGAAATTGCCTATAAAGTAGTAATCAAGATATGTTAATAGCTGTCAATTTTCATTTCAAAATCTCAGTCCTTTAAAAGTGCCAATGCTACTCTCCCAATTTAGAAAATTCCCAAGTGCTGTTATCTCTGCTTAGATTTAGCTTATCTTTCCCCAACTAGGTAAAGAAATCATGTGGACCTCAGTTGAATTCATTTCCTTCAGGAAGTTTTCCTAAAGCCTCATACACTATCTAGGATTGGGTTTTCCTATTACATTATTCTATAGTACATCATGAGTTAGGAAACTTTTGAATATCTGGCAATACTTGCCCTATATACTACAATGAATACTCCATGAAGGCAGACGACAAATCTGCAGTTTCCTACTAATACATTTATTTTATAAATTAATTCTAGTTCATTCCACTGACTTTGAGGGTGGAGAAAGGAAAATGAAGTCAAGTAATTATGGTATTATTCTTTCTTTTTCCCCAAAATATCCAGGCTCAGAACTTAAGAGACAACAGAGAAAGAACCTTTAAAAGTAATGGTTAAGGCACTGGATTCCCACGTGGTGGACCACAGTTTGAGTCCCGGACCCAGCAGCTTAAAACTCATGGCTAGTACATATGCGTGTGTGCTCAAAATTCCAAGAGGGAAATGGAGAAGGGATTGTGGTGTAGCCATCTCCCCTGTAAGGGTTATTTCTCATTTTCTGTCTCTCTCTCTCCGTTTCTCCAGTGAGTGCACTTACCCTATAGCAAAAAATCTCTCAAAACATTTTTTTTAAGTCATCAAATCAGGCACTCAAAAATTTTATTTTGGGGCAAGCAGGTGGGATAGTGGTTAAGGTGCTGGCCTCCTGGTGATGGACTCCCATGAGGCAAACTATGGCTTGAGTCCTGGATCCAGAAGCTTGAAACTCATACTGGGTCCAAAATTTTGTGTATGCTCAAAATCCCAAGAAGAGAATGGAGGAGAAGGTATTGTGCCATGGGTATCCCTTCTGGGGGGGGAGGGGGGTGATTTCTCACTTTCTTTCTGTCTCTTTGGCAAGTAAACATGCCCTATAGCAAAAAAAACTCTAAAAATAAAAAATGAAAAGAAAAATCTTATTTTTGGTTATTCCATTCCTTTACTCCTTCCTTATAACCTATAAACTACACCCACGTGCACACCCCCAGTTAAAACGTATGCACAAGCACCAGAGACAGATGGTAAAGCTGAGACTGAAGGCCAAAAACAGCTGTCAGAAAGCATGAATTTAAAAAGAAGCATAAATTTTCAAAATGCTTTAGAAATGTTTCCATTATTAAGCATTTCTTTTCTGTAAAAATGAAAGAACTCTTGGTTACTCTAGAATTAGACTAAATTTGTTCTAAATATTAATACTTTAAAAAGATCATGCCTAAGCAGTTCTATAGCATCCCTTCAATTTTTCCTTTCTATATCTTCTTTTATTCCCTCACTTGCAAGTCAATTATTCTTCAAAAGCTTTGCTGATGAGTTTCAAAATGTCTGTTTCCATAAAATATGTGTTTTAATAACATTACTAAAGTAAAAGTCTGGAAGAATGAACAAATAAATCAAAAGATGAAATTACAGACACTGTTAACAGATATTTTGGGATAGGGAACCTTCTGCTCACTGCCCTTTGCCTATTTATAAATCTAGTCCTCCAGAAGATTAAACATTTTCTATTTTACACATTTCCCCTCAAGAGTGGACCTGTATCTCAGTTAAATAGTCCAATATGTAATAGTTATTTAGTATAAGGCAAAACATTACTTTATAAATGTTTCCTGTTACTTATTCACACTGAATGTTTTCATGCAAATAAAAAAATGTTTTAAAAGAGATTTTTGCCTTAGTGTGTGTACATTCCCTGGAGAGAAAGAAAGAGACAGCGAGAAGCAAAGTGAGAAATCACCCAACATGGCGGATGGCAACACCACAATCCTTTCTCTATCCTCCTCCCAGGATCTCGGGCACACATGCATATGAGCCCAGAGTGATTTCAAGCCATTGGGACTGGGAAAGTGATTTTCAAGCCACTGGGACTGGGAAAGAAAATGTCAGCCATAACTGCTCCACCATTTGCTGGCCCTACGAATTTAATTTATTTTTAATAATAACTAACACTGATATAGCATTCAATCTGGCCTATGCACTGGTCTAGGTACACGACTTAGGTTAACTCTTCATTTTCATAATAAGTCTAGATGGTAGGTGCTGCTATTGTGTTTTGTAAGCAAGTAAATTCAGGCACAACTTGAATTTACTTGTTTACAACTGGGGACTCATATCCAAGTAGCTCTGTTTGTGAATCAGTTGTTTTATTTATTTATTAGTTTGCTTTAGGACATGTGTGCTCCCTTGAGAGAGGGAGGGGGGGAGAGGGAGAGAGAGAAAGTGAGAAATCATGCAAAGGGGTAATGGCCATGCTGTAATCCTCTACTCTCCTCTTGGAATTCTGGGCAAGTATGCACAAGCACCTGGTGTGTTTTTCAAGCCACCTAGTCTGAGACTCAAACTATTTAGTTGGCTATGTGGGATCTAGTTGCCCTTAACCTCCATGCCACCTGCTGGCTCTATTGCTTTTATTTCCTATACGAGATCCAGGTTAGTTCAGCTCAGCTCTGCCAATCATAAAAAGTTCAAAGCTCAGGTTCCACATGGGGCTACAAAGTATGATAGGAGAATGCATAATCTCCATCTCTCTTTGTATCCTCAGAGATTACTCTCGCGAGATCTGAACAGAATCCTGCACCATTAAAGATAAAAATATCACCTACCAAAAAGGTTAAAATTAAGAAACATGAAAACACCAAAGGCTGGTATGGATGAGCAACGGCAAATTTAATATATTGTTGGTATGAGGGTAACTGGCATAATCTTTTGGAAGATTAAGTGGTTTCAGTTAAAATGGAATATAAGTTGCCTGTTCTATGATTTAAAAAACTCTACTCCTAGAAAAACAAAGGAGTGTAAAGATCCACCAAAAAAAATGTATGTTTATAACAACTTTTTTCATAGTTCCACCCAGAACTGGAACCAATCCAAATGCCTATCAACAGGATAATGTAGACTCCCTGTGGCACATTTATATACAATAGAATTCTACACAGAATGAAGTGCTGGTACTTGTGCAACATAATTGAATTTGACAGATTTTATAGTGGAAGAAGCCAGACACATGAGTACATTTTGTGAGTTCAAATATCTAAAGCTTATGTGAAGGGAAAATGAAATCTCATAGGTAGCTGGAAATGTTCTCTACTATAAAGTGGAAGCTACTTGAGTATATACATATATTAATATAATGACTTAGTTCTTCAGCTAAGATTAATGCAATTTATGCACTGTATGTACTCTCAATTATAAAACAAATATCCTAGGCCAGTTTGGTGATCTAATGGTTAAGGGAATCAGATTCCACATGGCAAACTGCAAGACTTGAATTGGTTCCAATCTCAGCCTCCGTGGCTTAAAAACATGCTGGGCACATGGCATGCATACCTTAAATCCCAACAGGATGGAGAAGGGATTGCAGCGTGACCATGCTCCATTGCAGGGTGCTTTCTCCCTCTCAGTCTCTTTCTGATGAAAACATGGACCTTTGGCAAGTAAGTTAAAAAAGCAGGGGCCAGCAGGTGGTGTGGTGGTTAAAGTGCTAGATCCCACATGGCTGACTCCAAGATTCAAGTCCCTGACCTGGTGACTTGAAAGACAGGCCAGGCGTGTATGCATGTATGCTCAGAATCATGACAGAAGGAAATGAAGTGTAGTCATGCCCCATAGGGGGTGATTTCTCACTTTCCCTCTCTCTTTCTCTGGTAGGCACACATGTCCTTTGGCAAAAACTATAAAAAAAAATTAAAACAAACAAAAATGTCTTTAGGAGTAATAACCTCAAGCTAATACTCTTATCTTTACACCAATGGCAGAAGAGTTACCTGTAAATTCATTGAAAGTTCAGGAATAGGGTACCAAGGAGTTTCTTGGAGGTCTCCTTCAAATTACAGTAATATTAAACTCGGGATTCACAATATACTCATTTATTCTCAAAGAAAGGTAATGTTTCAGATTAGTATCTAAAATGTTTAACTCCTAATTTTTAAAATAAAACTGACACACTTGGCCATCATGGCTTCTGGAGTCCACCAAGGCACTCAAAATTCTATCCTGAGAAGCAAAGTCTTAAGCACTTCACAGCTAGCAAATTATTTATTGGATCTGAAGGGGATTTTTAGATAGTGAATAAAAAAAAATTATTGCACTTGGGAGATGGGCAAGTAGTATGAAAAGCACCAATGAAGCTCAAAAGAATGAAGCTACATTCACATTTTTAAAAGAGTTTTTTTTATATAGGGTGCGTAGGTTCTACAGAGAGACAGAAAGTGAGAAATCGCTCCCTTGAGGATAGCCATGCCACATTCCCTTCTCCCCCTGGATTTTGGGCATGCACACACATGTGCCTGCTGTGAGATGTTTTCTTTTCTTTCTCTCTTTCTTTCTTTTTTGTTTGTTGAGAGAGCAAGAGATTTTTGCTATAGGGAACCTGTGCTGGCCAGTGAGAGTGTGAAAGCAAGAAATCACTCCCAAGGGGGGGATTGGCCATGCTGCAATCCCTTGGAATTTTGGCCACAGACGTATATGTGCCAGTTGTGAGTTTTAAGCCAGTGGGTAAGGGACTTAAACTGCATTCAACTATGTGGGAGTGCAGCAATGTAACCATTATGCCATCTGCTGGTCCCCAGGAATGAGCTTTAAGCCCGTCTGGAACTTTAATTGTGGTCAATAACATGGGAGTCCAGCAACACAAGTATTATGTATCTGCTGGTCCCCATACATTTACATTTAATACACTCCAGTGTCACCAAAGGTTGGTGTTGCTAACGTCATTCTCAATCATCTTTCTCTGTACCATGTTGCTAATCTTTGGTACCTTAGCCTTTTATCACAGGGCTAATACAAAAACAAAATATACTGAAAAATCATATTTATGTTAACAGAGGAAAATTACTACAAAGATTATTAAAAATAAGCTATAATTGCATTTAACTTTTTTATTAAATTGAAGTCAACATTAGTCTGAATTCCAAGAATGCGTAACAAATGACAGCAAGAGATTAAAAAGTGAAAGCAATTCAATGTTTATGTTCAAAACACTGAGTAATAGACTTTGGTAAATTAAAAAAAGATTACGTTTACTAGTAAGAATTGCTTCTTAAAATAATTTGAGATTTGTTCATATTCGAGTACAACACGAGTTCCAGTAAGAGTAGTTAAGCAAGAGGTTCAGGTCGTAAAACTACCTTAAGGCTAAACCAAGTTTGAACCATGCCCCCTCCACCTGTGCCCCTGAGAATCGCACAACACTGAAAGGCCTTGGTTTCGAAGTGGAAAAGAAAATCGAATAGCAAGGGAGACGATAAAGGTTTCGCTGTCTCCTCCACCTGCCAGAACATAGCCCAAGTTCCCAACCTTCTGTCCCACCCTCCCTCTTCCTAGAGCAGGACGTCCAGTCCCCCTCCCTGCCCAACCGGAGTGCCTCACCTCCAAATGCCGCAAAAGCTGGGCTGCGTTCGCCTCCGACTTAACGGCTTTGTACTGACTGATGGTCAGGAGCAAGGACTTCAAGCAGGCGGTGGAGTCCATCCCTAACCGCCACGTCCCCGCCTGCGACCACCACCCCTCAGCCCGCTCCGGCCTCCAGCTTTCGCCGCGCTTTTTTGACTTTTGGCCCCACCCATTCCTCTTACACCCCTTATCTAAGAGAACGCGAGGTTTCGGCTTAAGAGGCCGTGGAAACGCGAACTCTCGCGAGAGACGCGATTGCCGCTCGTCCGTGGGCGGGCGGTTAGGCGCAAAGGGGTCGGTGTTTAACCCAGCGCCGTTTTCGTGTTCTTCCTCGGCCTTGAGCTGGAGGACCGCTTGTTCCTTTGTGCGTCATCTACCTGAGAAATGATCGCTTCCCCCTAGTCTAGACACGGTGAGGAACTCCGAGGAGACTCTTCGGGTCCCAGGGTTGGAGGCGGCCTGGGAGGGGCCGCTGTTTAAAATCTCTCCTACGTCCGCCCCTTTTGCTGAGGAGTGAGGTTCTCAGCGCGAACCTGTCATTGGGATTCTGCTGCACAGGCAGGCATATATTACTAGTTAGTCGTATTCGAGAAAGCTACCTGCGGGTGTCCCCTGGGCCAGGTAATTGCCCCGGATGATGCTCTCATTAGCGTCAGCTTTTGTAAATGAAAGTGTCTGGTTCTTTCTGGTATGATTGTTCTAGAAGTCTCAATGTCTGCGAAAATGGAACTGCTGTTGACGTTTTTCTGACCAGAGATAACTTTAAATATTATGTATGTGGATATAATGAAGTTCATAACTGCTTCGGGAGCTTTTTGCCTTATGGCTGGTGGTATCGAATAAAGCATTTCAAAGTAGGTAGGTTGTGGATAATTCTAAGAATTAGGATCCATGTCCATTTAATAAAATGATCAGAAATCTTGTTTAGTCCATTCAAAGGCCATTTTTGGTATCACTCCATTTTTAAATCAGCGTTTTTATTTTAAAGATCCATTTAAGATTACATCCTGAAAGCATAACGTGATTTGGCCAGTTGAGATATACATGTTAAGAATCTTCAGCTAGCCAATGTAGGCCTTCATACATTCACTGAAATAAGCAATTATTGAATGCGTAGCATGGCATAGGTATTGCTGATTGGGAGAAGAAAAGGAAATAACCCCTGCTGAGAAGCAACTGTCAAAAGGGAGAAGTACTAAATACAATAAATAGTACCTTTGAAATTCACCACACAAATGAGGAACACCCTGCAGTGATGGTAAACAGTAGAGGAAGGTTGCTAACCTATTTCTACCTTCCCCAACAGGACCCCAAGCGAGTTCTCACTGCTTTAGTGTCTTAAGGTAAAACCTGGCCAGGAGTAGTACTTGTTTCATCAGATTATTCATTCAGTTAAGTAACTCTTTACTATGTGCAAGGCACTGTTCTAGGTACTAGAGATTTGTGGACTAAAACAAAAATCCTCTTGGCATGAAAAGACATTGTGGTAGGGAAAAAAATTACACAGTAAATGAGGAAAATGACAATAGAGAGAACAATAGAAAGGTTATTACTCTGAAGTTATTACTCTGGTTATTAGTGGTTGAGAAGGGAAATGAGGAGGTTTGGATAGGTCTCACTGAGAAAGGAACTTGGAGGAAATATTTCAGGGAATTGAGAAAGTGTTCTTAGAAAAAGGTTCCTAGAAAGAAGGAATACCATGGACAACTGCCTTAGGTAGGAGTATAACCTTTATGCAGGGAGGCTACATGATTGGAGTAGAGAACAAGGTTGACCCTCTGTAAGCATAAAAAGCCTGGCAGACCATTAGGAATGAGTTAGTAAATGTGCAGAGTGAGCTTTGCCTACCATAATTGGTGCTAGTTACAGTCATTGGCAAGTGCAGTGATAAGGTTTGGCATTATTAGATTTTTTTTTTCTATTTTAACCATGGCAAATACCTTATCATTATCCCCATTTTGGGGGGGGGGGGGGTTCAAAGCAGCCTACTGTAAGTGCCATTTTTCTATGAAATCTTGCATTTTAATTCAGGCAATCATACACAGTTTGCATTTTCTTATATATTTTAATATCGAGTAATTTCTTTCTCAAAAAGTCTTTACTGGCGGGCTCCGTGGCCTATTGGTAAAGGGAGCCACGTCTCACAGATCCAGCCATTGGAGTCCCTACCCAGAAGCTGAAAAATGCTAAGACTGAAAAATGCTGGACAATTATGGGTTCTTGCCCAATTTCCCCACAGGATGAAGAAATGAGAAGAAATTGTAGTATGACCATGCCCCATTGAGGGTGCTTGCTTTCTTTTCCCCTCTCTGTATTTTTCTGGCTAGGACATGTGCTTTCTGGCAATTAAGAAAAAAAGGCTTTATACCAAAGTTCATGTAAGTTTAGTAAGATATACTGAGTTTTGGCCATGTTCTAGGGAGCTGTTAGAAGCCCCAACATCTTTAATCAAAGGTACTTTTCCTATCCTAATTTGAGAAACAAAGAACCATATTTTGGGGGCACAGAAATGGAGGAGAGAAAGTAGAGGAGATGAGGTTGGATTCAGATGACTTAATCAGCCTTGAACTTGATCTCTCTTCTGAATTTAGTGGTGATCTCTAGGTTTTTTTTTTTTTTTTGGTTTGTTTTTGTTTTTATCTATTTATTTACATTTTTATACATTCAATCACATTATTTAGCTTAGAAGGTGAACATTTCAATATGTGAACATTTTTCCCCGTTTCAGTTGATCAAAATATAACAACACTACCTCCCTGTCTCGACAATGCTGTCTCTGTATGGGGCCTGTGGAAGGTGATCTCTAGTTTTAAACTGGAGCCTGATCTAGTCAGGTTTCTTTTTTAGGCTGATTGTCTTTAAGACTTGAAATAGGGAGATTATTTAATTTTCTGGAGTTTCCAAAGGGTAACCAGGCTAACTGACGTAGAGATAGGAAATAGGTGACAAATTTGAGAAATACAGATGTAAAGCAGTCAGAAGTTGGTGACTGATGATGGATATTAGGAGTGAGGAAAGAGATTCCAAGTGTCTCTTTGGTTGGATAGTGGGAAAAATATAAATACAGCTAAGTAGTTAATAGAATGTATTCAGGGTGTATTTTATATTTAATGAAATTTTAAATATAAAGGGCCTTCAAAAATTTATGGAAAATATGTACGATGAAAAAATATGCATGAATTTCAAATATTTTTTACACCACAATAAACTCGTGCTTATATTTCATTTTCCCATGAATCATTTGAAATATGTGCTTAGTTTGTTATAGTCTTAAACCATTTTCATTAAGTTTATTTTTGGATATTATATAATTTCTTGTTACTGTGAATGTGTTCTTTTTCCCTTGTAAATTTATTATTACTACTATTTTAAAAAGTACTGAGTTTTCGGGAACCAGCAGTTAACTTAATGGCTACGTCGCTGGACTCTCATGTAGTCGACCACGGTGCGCGTCCGGGACCTGGTGGCTTAAAACTCACGCTGGGCGCATGTGCTTGCATGCCCAAGATCCCAAGAGGAGAATGGAGGAGAAGGGATTGCGGTGTGACCATCCCTC